GCGGTCCAGAATCGAGACAAAGGAAACACGTCGTTCCAATACAGGCGAGGCGGCATAAGCAAGGGAGAGCGGAAGTACGAGTCTTGGTGAGATGCATGTGACGCCAAGTCGGCCCCTCCCCCTGCTTCTACTGGGGTAGCACCTTCTGCTCTGAAAAAGGGCAGGACAAGGTCAAGCGTGGAACGCGTGGCTGTCTGAACATTGCACCGACCCGACCTCCTCTTCTCCATGGGCGTGAGTTCCATCCACATCCCGACTCAGGAGTCTTTGCGGCGTTCGCGCGATGGCATTTCTTCCTCCCTTCTTGACGAACATGTTCCTCCTGCACAGACCCGCCGACTTGGCCGCGCCGCCAATACATCGGAATCTCGCATGGCCATTCCGGTTTCCGAGGTCTTTCTTGAGGATAACCAAGCGACAAGTGCGAGGCTCTCTTGGCGGGTATATCTTGAGCTCGTATCCACGACACGGAAAGGGTTGCCTCTTTAACGAGCACAATGCGCAGGTTAGTAAAAGGCCTGGACTGTACGGAGTGGAGGACAGCATGTACGGGACACACTGCAAATTGAGAAACACAGCATGAGAACCACTTACTTCCCATTGGCTGAGCGGCGCCCCACAGGCTGAGCGCGGCTTCAATCCGCCCCCCGCGCGCTCTGCCTCGTGGCGATTCCGCACTCGGGCTTTTCCTTTCCTGGTCCCTAGCGCCGTTGTGAGCTGGCATGCTGGCAAGACAATCACACTCCTGGCTCTGGAACTCTGTGCGTATTGGTTGGTGGTGTGCCTTACCATATAGAGGCATACCCCGGTGCCCCGAAGACGCCAGTGCCAGTCCTGTCCTGGGGTAGGGGGATATGCAGGGCACGCATGGTAATGGATCTGCTTGCGGGTTCCGGACCGAAGACCTGGTACTGTACGTGGACATACCCTGCCTCTGCCTGCGCATCCTCCGCCCTGTGAAACCTGGAGAAAGCTTCCCCGGCTTTTCTTTGGTTAAAGGACATTTTCAAATCTCCAGGGACCTCATCCGTTTGCCGTCCCGGCAGGCGAGACGGCAAGAGGATTCTCAATCCATCCGACTGGCACAGAGCAGCAATCACCAGTTCCGTTGGAAGTGTTCGCGCGCGCTCTCCCAATGTTTTTATGCGGAAAGGGCTGCTTCCGAGCAGAGAGTTTGCTTGTCTGCGTCGATCACAGTCTTGGAGCGAGTACTTAGCTGAGCCAAGGTCTGGGGCATGCGGAGCGACAGCCATTGAAGCAAGTCAAAAGCCAGGAAAGCAATCTCTAGCTCCATGCAACCCCATACCTGAGAAAGGTTGACTGGACGCCACGAGCGGAATCGTCGTGACAATGGTCATGACCGTGTTCGGTAGCAATCCTCGGTCTGCTAGCGTATCCATCGATCTGTCAATTCCTTGTCCTTGCTGGACGAGTTTGATAACAGAACGATAAATTGAACGGTGGACCCATTTGCCATCCAGACAGGCCTCGATTTCCACACCTCGAAAGTTTCCTGCCCTTTGTTCTTGCAATCACCGCGGCTCGAAAACATCTGTGCACTCTTTCCCTTTGAGCCAGTCGTCCTCCAGAAGGTGTATTTGACTCCGGTACAATGGCTGAAAAGGTGGTCCACGACAGGTCCGAAATCGAGGACGTGCCTGTCGACAAGGATGCTCTGGACTTCAACAGCGTGAGCATCAAAGGCGAGGCTCAAGAAATCGACCTCGCCCTGGAAAAGAAGGTGCTGCTGAAGACTGACCTCAACCTGGTCCCCATCCTGTTTCTGCTCTTTCTCTGCGCCTTCATCGACCGGTGAGTCCCATTGGCAATTCAAGTGCGCTGAAGAACACCCCCCCAAGTTGACCTGTGTCGTTATTCTAGAATCAACATCGGCAATGCACGAATCCAGGGGTTGGAGGAGGACCTCAACATGCACGGCCAAGACTACAACATTGCCCTGTTCACCTTCTTCGTCTTTTACATCTTGTTAGAGGTTCCCTCCAACCTCCTGCTGAAGCGGATTCGGCCGTCAATCTTCATTCCATCCATCATGTTGATTTGGGGCGTCATCACGGTCTGCCAGGGCGTTACACAATCCTTCGCAGGGCTCGTGGTCTGTCGAATCATCATCGGCGCGGCCGAGGCCGGGTTCTTCCCAGGCTGCCTCTATCTCATCTCGATGTAAGGCGCGCGACTCGACCAGCTCTGCTAGACAGATCGGCGGGTCAAAACTGGAGGTACCAAAATCACGTCATGCTAACAACGCCACAGGTTCTACAAGCGCCACGAGCTCCAATGGCGGTTCAATCTGTTCTTTTCGGCTTCCATCATAGCCGGCGCTTTCAGCGGTCTCCTGGCCTATGCCATCGCCCATATGAACGGCATCGGAGGCTACGCCGGGTGGAGATGGATCTTCATCCTCGAAGGCATCTTCACCGTCGTCGTAGCCATTGCTGCCTATTGGCTCGTCCCGGATTGGCCGGAGACTGCGAAGTTTCTGAAGCCCGCCGAACGAGAGCTACTCATCGCTCGACTGGCAATGGACGTCGAAGGCGCCAACATGAGCCACTGGAACAAGACAACAGCAAAGCGTGTCTTCAGCGACATCAAGATCTATCTTGGGTCAGTAAGATATTGATCAGATTGGCTGATCCAAGGGCTAACCCAGTTTTAGTATTGCCATGTACCTTGGGATCGTAACAACCAGCTACAGTGGTGCATTCTTCACCCCGACGATTCTGAAACAGCTTGGTTGGACCTCGATCCATGCACAAGTCATGTCGATTCCCATTTTCGTCTTTGCGACCGTCTGCGCCTTGACGTGCGCCGTCATCAGCGACAAAATGCACCACCGCTTTGGGTTTATCCTCGGAGGCTGTCTCCTTGCGACCCTCGGATACGCCATCTTGCTGAACATGCATCGTGTTGCGGTCGGGGTCCGATACTTCGCTCTGTTCACCATTGTTGGCGGCGGTTATATCGCACAACCGATTACCCTCGTGTGGTTGAACAACAATGTTTCTGGCCATTATAAGCGCAGTGTCAGTTCAGCGATGAGTAAGTCGTCCAGATCTGGGCCTTTGAGCAACACTTGCGATGCGCCGTCCCAAACAAGGCTAACAAGATTCAGTGATTGGATTTGGTAACTGTGGTGGCATCATTGCATCGTAAGTGGACCTAGAATGCCTTGAACCCTTCGCCTAACAGATGTGCCAGAAACATGTTCTTGGCGAGTCAAGCACCAGAGTATGAACTTGGATATGGACTAGGTCTCGGCCTTGTCTGGGTTTGCGTCCTCAGCGCTGTGCTGTTCCTGTTCCATATCAGGCGGGAGAACAGATTGCGCGACCAAGGCCGAAGAGATGACAGATATGACTTGCCCGATGACGAGAAGAACAACCTTGGAGATGATCATCCCGCGTTCCGCTTTACTTATTGAGTTCCAGAGCGGAGAATGGCCTATCGACATTCCGAGTTGGTGTTGCCACAGACAGAATATCGGATTGAGATTGCATTGTCAGGGGCAAAGCCCGTCAGACTAGGGGGAATCCTCAGCAGAAGGGCGCTGATGACGCGAACGAAATCCGACTGTAGAAATTAGACCATCGAGATGGAGGCGAAAATGTGCATCGTCCTTAAGCGTCATTCTAAGGTTGTAAGAACACGCATAGCGCACTCCATGAAGCTTCCGACCGAGTATCCCTCTAGCGACTCGGCGCGTTGATTCGAGCGTGCTGACCAAGTCGTTCGACCGAGAAAGGACTCCCAGAAAGCCTCGAGGGATGGGTGATAGATCATCTTCATTCAGCGCCATGTTAACATTCAATTATGCAATGATCGATGGATCTCACATACTCTTCTTCCAAGGAGGGATCATTCCTCCTCGACGTTTCCACCACAAGAAGGGGTTGGCCGCTTGTTCCCTTAATTCGGCGAATATGCTGGTATCCTGTCTCGATCGAATAATGTTCTCGGGTGTCCTTGCCAACCTTCCTCCGACCTGGAGAACAAGGGAACAAGTTCCTGGGCGCTTGTGAAGAGTGTTGTCGTGGAGTGTCCACATCCAGACTCTTTCAATCACACATGTTTCGTGGACCCGATGACATCGCCTCGGACTTTCTCCCAATCAATGCTGTTATCTAGCTCCTCGTCCACCAGTCCCACGATTGTGATGTTGTCGCCTCTCACAAGGTACAGGCCGTGACTGACCTGCGAGCTGGGCTCAGGGTCATCTGCCGGCCGGATAATGCGTTCGACCGTGTCGTTGAGAACAATGTTGGTGACCTGGTCGCACGAGAGCAGCGTTCCGACCAGAGTTCTGCCGTCGACCGTTATGACAAGAACCTTTTCTGCACATACACATGTCAGTAAGCGTCATGGAGCTGCAGGGAGTCGCTTCTACGCACTGTCAATGTAGGTTTGCAGAGACATTGCGACGGCACAGGACAGAACAGGATAGTCGAGAAGCTGGGTAATAACAGTTGCGGTAGGAGAGAGGGAGAGCAGCGATTGCTCGGGTAGATACTGGAGGTTTAACAGAAAGCACTCGTCATGGTACTCGCAAACCAGCGCCTCAGGCAGTATAACCGATACGATGGCAATCGGCGAGAAACAAAGCTACTGTTCGAAACTTTGATCCCCAAAAATGCGAGAGACCCACACACGCAAGGCTGGAGTTCAGCCTTGTCGCAGCCGCCTCGTCTGTGATGGACTACCACCATGTAAACATATTCGGAGCGGAGAGTAAATAGGCAAGGCACTTTCCCCTTGTTCCATCATGAATAGCTATTCATTTCCAGGTCACGTCACTTCCACCGCGGTCCGATACACGTAGCTCTTCGAAGAAGTCCCTGTCACTGCCCTGCAGTGAGATCGAGAGTGGACACCGGGGAGCGACAGATGATCTTCACTACGAGCGTCATACAGCAAGTGTCTGTCTAACGGTATAAAGTCCATCATCCTTTTGCATAGACACCTCTCACTGTTTCGGATTCTCAGCAATGGACCAACCGACATCTACGTCTGCCTCTACGGCAGCCTCTGCCTCCCCCAACATCGAGCAACTTCTCTCGCGATGGCCCGTAGCCAGTACACTGAGCCATCATCTCCCAGTAGGCGATCTGATCGTGGTTTCTCGACTGAGCATGACACTTCGGGCTCTTCTGCACGGTTTCGAACTACCGCCGACAACCGCAGAGACACCCAACTCAGTACGTCCAGAACTACACATCGGCCACCACGGCACCGTCTACTGGCAACGGCTCAAGGACCGGGCCCCCTTCGAATGCTCTTCCCGAACGCACACGAAAGGCCCCGCACCCAAGCCGTGTCGATACTGCTCGCGCCCGATCTGTGACGCCTGCATCGTCCGGGACTCGCTGTTCAAAGGCCACGAGAACACCTTCCCGAACCGGGTGCGGTACCTCTGCAAGCAATGCTGGGAATCAGGCAACGATAGCCAGACGTGCCGGTATCCGCTTGACGTTACGCCAGGGTCGGATCATTCCTCTGGATCTCCTCCATCTTCATCTTCGTCTTCGTCTTCCTTGAACCGAAAACAATGGTACGACCCGTCAGGCTCGACACGCGATTACTGCACCTGCACCCTCAAAACGGACGGCATTCTCTGTCTCGAGTGCAAGGACGCCCAGAACCGCTCGGCAGTCTCCAGTTCCACTTCTACACCTTCGAGCGAAACACGATGCCACGGCCAATCCTGCACCAACACACTCACCGCGGAGGACATAGACCGGCGACGCATCTGCCTATGGTGCAACAAGGCCCTGCCGCGCCAACTCGGCGGCACGACACGCCACCACTGGACGCAGAAGATCATCGAGGCGCGGGCCCGCCACGCCGCGTCCCGGTCCGCGGACGTGGAGGAATGGAACCGCAAGCGGCTGCGCGAGCGTACAATGTCACGACGCGAGATGCGCGGCGACGACGCCGTCCGGGACGATCCCGACGCCGATGTCCCGCAACTGGTACGCCATCTCGACACGGTCAACTATCAGAACTACATGGCCCCGTCGGCGGCGCCGAGCCCGGACGCCGTCTTCGCGTCCAAGACCGGCTACTGGCGATATAGCAGGGACTTCATGCTGGCTATGAGATCACGTTGCGCAAAGGCCGCACCGACACCCCGAGGCGTCTCTCTCAGGGCAGAAACTGCCGGAAAAGACATGCCATTCGCCCAGACCAACGCTGAAAAGGCAGCAGACCGGCTTACCCTGGCGGCCGCGATGCGTAAAATGCCACGGGACCGTCTCTCGGAATGGTGTGCTTACAGGGCCGTGATCATGGATTGTCTTCTCGAACAAAACTTGAGTCACGAGGCGACTCGGGAGTTCATGCAACGAGAACACAACTTTGAGGCCAGCATCGAGGACTATGGCGAGGTGATGCACGTGTGGACCACGCAGGAACGTCGGCGGAAATCGCTCGAATGCGAAATAGGCACCACTACCAAAGGCAGGGGAAAGGGTGCTGCGCTCGAACACGAATCAGACACAACTACTAAAGGGAGCGGGAAGGGAAAGGGGAAGGGAAAGGGGAAGGAAAAGGCTGCTGCGTCGCTGAAGGGAGATGACCCCGTCCCGTCTTTCAAGCCTGGTAAGGCGCCGGGCGCCACCGCCTCGTCCGGAAAAGATGGCCTTGGGCTACACGACAACCGGGCCCAACACATCGACATCGACATCGACTCTGATAACGACTCGTCTGACGACCCCTCTGCGAGAACGAATCCCCCCCAATGTCTACGCAGAAGGCCATCAGGAGAAGGCGACTCGGGCGCGCGGATGTATCAGTCTCGACGACGACGACCACCACCCCAGCGTCGAGGCGACGGAGCTGACGTCCGTCTTCTCCAACTTGGAAGAAGCAGAGCAAGTCAATGCCGCCGGCAATACTTGTCGCAGCCGTCGTCCGTGGCATCGTCGTCGTCGTCGTCGTCGTCGTCGTCATCGCAACCGACTGCAATGCTACAGACCGCATCGACATCAACACCATCACCATCTACCAGAAGCCCGGATCCAATACAATCAGGGTGTCATGGAGGCCCAACAACAAGGGATCCCACGCCTAATGACTCGTCGTCGCGGTACATACCCGTGTTCCTTCGGCCGGATGAGCCACTGGACGCTAACGAGGAGCCCCCCCCGTATGAGGCAGATGGGTGGACGTGGCCGGGCGAAGTTGAGCATGACCATGGCCATGACCATGGCCAAGCAGAACAGTAAAATGCATCGTCTGGCGGATGCGCATGTGCGCATTTCATGGTTCCCAAGTGGTTGTAAGACTAATACTCCATCATCTGGACCTGCTTGCTTTGCTCTGACTCTGTACGCTACCACCCAGGTATCACGGTACCTCCAGCGACGCACTGTCGCCCAACAAAACCGCTCGCCACGACACAGGTGTCAGGATCCGACCCAAGAAGATCCTTGTACAGGTTCCCAATCCATCTCCGTGCATTCGGTGCATATCAACACAAATTTGCTCTCTTCACCCGCACATCATAAGCTGTGCGGCGCCGTGGACGGTGCTTCGCTGCGCCCATAGACCTTACTAAAGGTGGAGCAAGCCCGTTCTGCTGTCTGCTGCCACACCACAGCCCTTGTTCTTCATGGTGAGTGATCGGCTGCGGTTCGCTAAAGGGGTCGTCCACGCTTCAATGCCTCGGACTATTCCTGGCCAAAGCCCAACGTCTCCTCGACGGCTGTCGAAAGCTTGCCGTTTAGCGCTTCGTATGTCTTGTAGGGCGGAAGATCAAGACGGTTAAAGCTGGCTTCTTGTTAGCGAGTGATCTTCGAACGGACTGTGGGACACAAGACGCACCAGGTATGACTCTTGGGTAGAGCATTTATCTCTCCAGCTTTCTCAATCGTGAACCTTCTCGGTCCGTCACTACCTTGCAGATCCTTGAAGCCATTGACAGGGATACGACTTGTTCCAGTAGCGAACTGCAACAGGCGCGATTTCTGCTCGGCGTCCCATGACCTGATGACTTTCCAGAAATTTTGGATGACTTCGTCCTGTTCTTGGTATCCGCGGTAGTCAGTGTGCTTCTTCCAGTCGTCGACATCGATATCGGCGATACCGCCAATCAAAAGCTCGAGTTCACGTTCGTCGAAGACATTGACCAGATCAGCAGGGATGAGTTCGTTGAAGCCGGTGATAAAAGCGTTGAACTGTTCTTCGACGCGTTTCTGGATCTTCCATTCCGTGAGAAGTCTGAGGGAGGTCAGTAGGTCGAATTCACAGTTTGGCCGCTCAAGCTGGTACTTACTCGACATATTCTCTCTTATTCTCATTGGTGACGGGGATGTCTCGACCGCCGGGCTTGAGATCTATCGTCTTTGTCTCTCCAAATTGTTCATCTTCAATAGAAAAGGTCTGGTCAAGGACGTCGGTAATGTCATTGTCCAGCATCCAGGTCAAGTTTTTGTGGTATTCCTCATCAACACCTTCCATATCGTTGATCGTGACTTTCTTTCGCAGCATCATCTTGTAGAACGCGCCAATAAAGAAAGAGTCCAAGAAACGACGATGGAAGATCGCCAGGCCGACCACTCGTCCGATGAATTTGAAATAGTTCAGGTGCTCCGGATTGATGCCAGAGTGGGGGTTGATTTGCAGAGTATAGTTGTCGTGTGCCGAGTATTCGAACAAACAGTAGAAAGGGTTGAACATTTCGTGTGAGAGCAAGAAGAAAAATTCGCTGTGGCAGACATTAGTAGAAACCAAGGATTAGATCTTCCGGCATACTAACCGGGAGAGACCACCGTAGTCGAGACCATCTTCTCCGTCGAACTTGATCATCAGCCGCTTCTTCAGGTCGGTAGCGCTCTGTCGCATGATTTCGGCGTACGAGTCTTCGAAAATCGCGCCACGGCGTACTTTGATGTGGCACTGGCCGGACAGGATACGCAAGGCCGGTTGAGAGCGGAAATAGATCAATTTCCGTCTGAAATCGCGCTTATACTGCGGCACGCCCTGATCCAGTGAAGATGGCAGTCGTGGATCATCCCAAGTGGTGGTCTTTGTATTATGATCGACGAAATACACGCGGGCAGTGTTGGTGAGTCGCATTTCCCACCCGCTGGGCAATGGTCCCAATTGTGAGACCGGCTGTTGTTGGATGGTGGTGTTGTTCCCGGCAGGATTGTTGCCATACATTCTGATATACTGCTGCCTTCTAGGGTCCACCCAAGTCGTAGTGCGGGTGTTGTGGTCGACAAAATAAGCCCGACCTTCAGGGGTATGTCGCTGCTCCCACCCAGCAGGAAGTTCACCGGTCCCAGCGGTGGTTGCTCCTGTAGCCATCATTGAAACTGCGTTTGGTGGTTGAGGCGATCCTCGAGAATCCTGCAAGTTCGGAGAGTTGGCGCCTGTGCGATCCTCAGGGAGCATTCGGTTCTGGTGACGAGTCCGCTCCATTTGCATATTCGCTTCGACGCGGTTGCGTGCTTCGGTCTCGCTCAGATGATTGGATGGCCTAGTCCATGTTGTGGTCCTCGTGTTGTGATCGACGTAGTAAGTCCTGCCAAGGTTGTCTTCTCTACGTTCCCAGCCCGCAGGCAGCCGTCCCTGACTGTCCTCGAAGGAGCTGAACCCGCCAGATCTCCCACCACTAGTTGTGCCATTGGGTTGTGATGGCGCATTGGGTGGATTAATCGCCGCGGTCGAAGACCTCGCATCTCCAGAGCCTGACGTGGCTGTCCGGGATGCGGGGCTTCTGGATCGGACGGGGAGTGCTTGATTAACATTGGTACTGCTGCCGGCATGGAGACTTGAGGATCCATTTACACTGGGCGCGGTACTCGGCGCGGGTCGATTCTGTTGAGGCGGAGGAGTCGAGAGGTTTGTAGAGAGATTGACGATCAATTTTCCGTGGACGACGAGGTTATCGGTGGACTTCTTAAGATCCTTGGTAAGCATTTCTAGCTGATGATCAGTTCGTGTTCCAGTTCTGCAAGGCTGGTGAAATACCGTCTGCACCCATGTCCAGGTCGATGACATCGCCGATGCGGATATTGATGACCCCGAGGAAGCCCTGGTCCTTCTTCTTGAACTTCTTCTGGTCGAAGATCTGAATTGCTAAAATGCTGTCTTCTGTCACTCTCCTAGTGGGCAGTCAACGTTATGCTCCAATAATGCACTCCGGCATGGGTGACGGACATGTCAAACGCTTCATTCCAATAAGGATTCAAGGTCTTTCTGATGACGGAGGTTGTCCTCGTTTGTTCCCCGGAGATGGTCGCAACAGCGAAGGGGTCGGGGAAACCTGCATCTTCTTAGCATGGATGTCCTTGTAGATCCTGAGTGCTGTACTAACGGAAGACATCTCTTTTGTACAGGCCGTCAGCCGCAATAACTGTGGGAGGTCAGTTTCGAGTGCCGGATAGACCGCAGCGAAAGGAAGTCCACGAACTTGTCACTCGCAGATTAGGCTCTCTGATTCCTTGAAGTCAGCCTGGATTCACGATTGATGCAATGAGAGCCACGTACGCAGGCAGGTTTGCTTCAGGCATCCTGGATGCTTGACCACAGGACCGTGGTCCGGGAGTCTAGCCTGCGGACAGCTGCAATCGGCGGGGTAAATCGGTTCAAAGCAGAATCGTGCTCGTGGCTCACGGTGCGCAGGGTCGACTTCGTAACGGCAATACCGTAGGTTAGAGAAAGTGATGGATCGTTGACAGTGAAGTTGTTGAAGGCGCGCAATCGTATTCGGCTGTGAATTACTCAGTCTTGGGTGGCCGTTTGAACTTTGGCGGTTTCAATGGTGGCGCAGTCACGCTAAGAGAGCGGAAGGGACGGTATGAAGCCAGGCCAAACACAAAGGCAACCTCGTCGCTCAGGTCATGCTTGCATAATAAGAATGATTCCAGTCAACAGTGCCACCGTCGTAGTGAAGATAACCAGAGTTGCTGGCGAGATCGAGGTGACCTTCCCTTTCAACTCAGAGGCAGAAAGTGTATGAGCAAGAAACGTGCCCGCTTATGTCATAGAGGCCAATAAGGCAACGAGGCCACGGTCAGGTCAAAGCATCGGCACGAGTATTTAAGTATACCGTGAGGGACTGTACTTTTCAATAAGGCGAGGAAACATCCCGCTCATCAAGATCGACTCCTGATAGCATTATTAATCTCGTTGCAGCGGTGATTTTGGTCTGCTAGCAGGTTTCCCCTGGGTTGCTCCTTTTGATTCCATAACTCTTACAGTTCCGGGGCTTTGGCCCCTTCCAATGTTGACGCGTTTGATTCCAAGATGACCGATTGATAAACGAGTAAACCTGCACCGCCTCTGGGGGTAGCAATCCCTCCAGTCGATTAGAGCTCTTTTTCAGTATGCCCTGATGCCCGGCGCAAGTGCAGTCGGGGGGAATCTCCAAATCGACCGCAGCCCTCTCAGCGCCTCATTGTGTCGCGTGCCACCCTGTCCACGCCGTTCTCGAGACCGGGGCAAGCTCTGATATCGCTCAATACGGTGCAAACCCACGGCCGCGTCCTCTAAACCCGCCCCGCGGACCCCCTCTTGGAGCACCATAGCCGCCGCCATAGCCGCCGCCGAAACCTCCTCGTCCACCGAATCCTCCTCGACCACCGCGCATAGGACCGCCTCTGCCTCTACCTCGCGTCATGCCGGGAAGGTTTGTACGTTTAGGCACGACCTGTGCGGTCCTGGTCAGCATCAACTCTAGAACAATCGCGCCTTGTCACACACCTTTAATGCACGACCACGGAAGGTACTTTCATTGAGCACCAACGCCTGAGCCACCAGTCCTGGATCTGAAAACTCCACATATGCATACCTGCGCGACGGGTTCCATTAGCAATCCATCTCTTGCCAGGCAGCATGAAATGATTTTTTTTCCACAGGTGTCCAGCTCTTCAACAAGCCTTGTGTGGAAGTGCTTGGATGTTTTAAACCCACCCTTTGGGATGACCCGTGAACTTGTCAAGGAGGATCGTAACACGGTTGATGGTCCCGGGCCCAGTTGCGAAATGTGCTTGGATCTCTTCGGGTGTCGCCTGGTAGTCCACGTTCCCAACGAAGATGCTGCGCGCATCTACGTCTTCGCGGTCTTCTCTAGGCACGCTCTCCGACGATTGTTCAAGGTGACTTTGCATCTCGCGTAGCTTGGCGGCTTCAGACTCCATCTCAGCAACGCGCCTCTTCATTGCTGCAATCTCTTCCTGTAAATATCGTCAGCGCAAGGTCGTGTCGGCGAGGCTGCAACCATTTGGCGCCGCGAGCTGTGTCCTTACTTCCTCCTCACCGCCATCTTCGTGGGTGTCTTTGTGCTCGTCTCTGACATCTTGTGTGTCGGACATCTTGACGCTCTGTCTGAATGCGAATGTGGGTGGTAGAAAGGTAAAGGCAAGGCTGATAGTCGGAAGATTCAAACGGCGATGAGTTTGATGAAGGCACAAGTCATCGGGCTGGATCGCAGAACGATGACGGAGCGGAGCTGGATTCACACTGCACGACGGGAAGATTCACGTCGTGACAAGAGCCAGGCTGAAAGCGTAGTGACGGCCGGGTCAGTGAATGTCGGTGGCAGCCAAACTAAAATGCGGACAGGCCTCGAGCGAGTCTGCATGTTTTGAGCCGCATGCAGCGGCCTGAACAGGCTCCCCAAGTACGGAGGATCAAGCGACGCACAGGGGCATGATGGGGCACCAGGTGCAGGGCGTCGTGCCGCCTTAGGCGTCATTGGCTTTAATAAGAAAGAGTTTGCCACCACCACCACGGTGATTTAGCGGTCCGCAAGGGAGCCGTGGCTATATGCCGATGGCGCCTTCGCCTTACTGGGAGCGTAAAGTGCGCTGGGTGCTAAGGGCATAAGTTCACTGACTCTTCATCTGTCTTCTTCAGTCGCCTGAAGAGACAACCCAGCACGTTCGGTCCGGTCTCGTCATATTGTCATGACAACTAAGGAAGATGAACAAACATCGGCCTTAAGCGACGCCCCTAGGGAGCAGCTGGCAGGCTTCGCGAAAGCTGGAGATGGCTCCGTCCCCAGTCGTCGAGCCAGTCCACGAAACGTTACCCAAGTCTGCCGGATTCTTGGAACCTTCTTCGTCTTCTTCACCACATGGGGCGTGGCATCTTCCTTCAGTGCATACCAGGCCTATTATCAGCAGGACCTGCTTGCTGACCATACCCCATCTGTCATATCATGGATTGGCACCGTCCAAGTCGCCTTGCTGGGCTTCACGGGGATCGTCTCAGGGGCTCTCTATGACCGCGGTTATATCCGAACCTTGTTGGTGGTGGGAGGCGCCATGGTCGTCTTTGGCTTTATGATGCTGAGCCTTGCAAAGGAGTACTACCAGGTCATCCTGGCCCAGGGTGTGTGTATCGGTCTCGGTGAGCTCCCATTGTCTGGTGCCAACCAGCAAATTGTACTGACCCCGGTTCAAGGCAACGGCATGCTTTATATCCCGTCGATCGCAGTCATTAGCCAGACATTCACTGCCAAGCAGCGTCCTCTTGCGATCGGGGGTTCTTCATCTGGAGCAGCCATAGGGGGAATTGTGCTGCCCATCATGTTCCGCCAACTGCAGCCGGGGATAGGTTTTGGCTGGATCAACCGTATCTTTGGGTTCATCATCCTCACGATGATGATAGCCACCTACTTCCTCCTCCGGCCCGATCCAACCCATCGACGTGCCAAAGGACCGCTGTTTGACCCTTCTGCGATTAGGGAGCCTCCATTCGTGGTGTTGTTTGTAGGCTTGTTCTTCACTTTCCTCGGCTACTGGGTCCCTCTGATTTTCGTCACGCCCTACGCCCAGTTTTCGATCAAGACGAGTGTCTCCTACGCCTTCTACCTATTGGCGATCCTCAACGCGGGCAGCTTCGCCGGTCGGATCCTTCCTGCCCTGGTCGCGCACAGAATTGGCCCTGCCGTCGTCCTCTCGGCCGGTAGTGTCTGTCTGGGCATTCTGATACTAGGATGGATAGCTATTCACGACATTGGCGGCATCACAGTATGGGCCGTTCTTGTGGGATTCATGGCCGGCATCACTGTTGCCATCCCGGCGGCAGTCGTCCCTCTCATGTCCCCAACACCGAGCGTCGTCGGCGCAAGGACCGGTATGGCTTGGGCGGGTGCTGCTTTGGCGGCCTTGATCGGTGGGCCGATTGCTGGTGCCCTCGTGGACACCGAGGCAGACAACTACACGCACGGCCAAGCATTCGGGGGCGCTGCCAGTCTGCTCGGAGGCTTGCTTCTCATCTATCCCGCAGTCACGATTGCTAGGGGGAACAAGCGCTATCATAAGCCAACTCCGCTACCGGCATGCATCGAAAGATCCTCGTAAGCCTATCGAGCTTGGGAACGGGGAGTCGGAATGAAATTCTCGAGGCGGTCGGGACAATAATACCAGAAAATCTATACTCCACCATACGCTGTCGTCGACAGGGTAAGAGTATCAGATCACGAAGGACAAGATAGGTCAGCATAGAGAGGGACGGTACGAAACTGAGCCTGCATATTTACAGTTCATCCAGGGACCATGCACTGAGGGCCATGGGACGGACCAATCTGAATATGCAACCTCTTTGCACGCGGACTCCAATTTTGGAAAATCCTAATGAGCGGTCGAGTCGAAGAATGTCCGGGCCTGCAGTTCATATCAATGACGGGTCATTTTCACATAACCGGCACCACCTGGATATACAATCTATACTAGGCTTGACCAGACACGGCAAAATGATGAATACACCTGTATGTATAGCGCGTTGAGCAGTGTACAGATATCGGACAGACGAATGCATAACCGTTCTCTTGAATATGGCAGTCTACTAGCAAACGGCAGCACAGGAGGACAACTCCTACTCTGCCTGCTTTTCCAGCACCTATTTACACCTTCACTCTCCATCTCCACCGCCAGCCCAGGCAAGCCCATCGACTGAGCATGAAGGTCCCCATACCCAAGGCAGTGACAGCACACATAAAGCCCACCATCACCCTGGCACCCGCCGCCTCCACCAGTTGGCCACTGATGGGGATACACACCAAAGCAGCCAAACTCCCGATGAAATAGCAAGTGCCATAGAAGCGTCCAAATTGCTCTGCTTCACAGAGTTGACCAATACATGCCGGTGTAAGCGCCATCCAGCTGCCGGTGCCGAATCCAAACAGTGTGCAGAAAATGTATAGTGCGGCGAGGGAACTATGTCCGAACGGAAGCCAGATAACCAGCATCAGCAGAAGTGTAAAGAGGATCATGGCCAGCAACGTATTAAAGCGACCAATCGTGTCGGATATATATCCCGGAATGATTCGTCCGAAACAACTGCTTGCGTTTAACACTGAGATGATGTAAAAGCCGGTATCAGGAGGGAACCCAGTGCCGTGGTTCGCGTATGTCGGGAGGATCCCCAGCGCACCAAAGAGGACGATCTCAAATGCAAACACACTAATGGTGAGGAACGTGAATTTCAAGTCCCCAAATAAACCGAGACTGATGATGGCTTGCTTCCTTGCCTCGGGAGAAGGTGGAAGGCGTGGTTTCATCAGCACGTTCGCTATGGCCAAGCAGCCGAAAAATAGAAAGCCTAGAATGCGCATCGACCAAGCGAAGCCGTACTTGGGTAGCGTGTCTCTTAAGATCAACGGGATCGTGACGCCGCCAAACGATGAACCAACCATCGCGATCCCGTGAGCAAGCCCTCGTCGCCGCTTGAACCAGTGGGAGACCACTGCCAAACTTGTCGTTGTAAGAGTTGCGCCTCCGACTCCTCCTAGAAAGCCCAGACACAACAGGAAGTGCCAGTATTTCTTGCACTCTGCCAGGAGAAAAACCATGACGATGTAACTAATGCTACCAAGCAGGGCAATCCAGCGTGGACCATAACGGTCAAAGAGTGGCCCGACCCATATGCCCAGGCCGAGGGCGAGGTAGACGAAGACGGAGGGGATCCAACCAATATCGCGGGATGTATAGGCTGACAGCTGGTGGTTCTGAAGATATTCCTGGACGGTGCCGATGGAGACCATGAGACCGAAGGACGCAAACAGAGCAAGGCATGCACCCGTTAGAACTAGCCATGCCTGAAGACCGCCCTCGGGGAACTCGTCGTTGGGAACGCGATTCGTTTCGGGGTCTTCAATGTTGATTGTGTCGATGTGCTTGTCGCTGTCGTTGACGTTTGGTTGTGGGTTCGAAAATGCAGGCACTGTAGATCCTGATTCCTCCTTGCCGGTCTCGGTAAAATATGCAAGCTCATGCCTTCCTAGGTCATTAGAGCGGACCTCTTCGACAGCGGGTAGCGAGGCGGTGTCCATCAATGCGGGCGTTGCTGGTGAATCGCTGTCAGGGTCGGTCTCTGGACTGAATCACAGAAACGCCATTTTTCAATCCTCCAACCTTCGCCAAACGCAGCACCGTCATCACGCCCTTTGAGCGGACGGTTCCTGCAACTAAAAATATGTGAGACCAGATTTAGCTCCTTGGTGGGGATGAAGGTGGAGAGGGGAGACTCGCTCTTCTCCGCCGGATCCAGGTCCTCAAATGGTACATCAGGTCCGGAAGATGCTTCGATGCGGAAAGGAGGAGCTAAGCTGCATTGCTCCAACGAGTACCTCGCGTCGCAATGGAATACATGCAAGGCCGGCTCTTGAAGCACATGGCTGCAAACAAATCCCGTAACCTCATGAGTGGCTGTTGTCATCAATGAGCCGATCGCCGTGGCTCGAGAGATCCAAGAACTGCGGCTCAGACTTGCCTTTTCACCTTCATGGGCCAGCTTGGCGGTTGCAACGCGTGCTTGATATGCCTGCAACCAGCTCAAAGCTCTGAAGCCTCAGAAGTATCTGTGATGTGTCATCACCGCCGCCGATCTGCTCGCTCTGCCCCCGCGGGGATCGTTCAGAGCTCATTCACTCCAATGCTGGGGGATGAGAGCGGTGACCATGTCATCTTGCAGCCCCCAAGACATGTGTTCCCTTCATCCTCCCTTTACCGACTTCCATCTTCGCGGTTCTGGCGCCAAACTGAATTGCTCTCTTCCTCTCTGAGGCAACAGTACGCATCCCTAGTTCCCATGTTGCCAGCCTCAACAGCATCTTCGCCGGCTCAAGATCCTCAGGCTGGGTCGCCCGACCCACTTGTTCGTAATGTTTTGGAATCTTCTTTTCAACTCTGAATCCGCATTTTTCCCATACTGGAAGAGCTAGAGAAAACTTTACCAGATCTTCGTCAAGGTAAGGATAACGCACCTCTTTCCCCCAGTGGCTCATGACACGGTCGTCCCGACCCAGATTACGCGTGCCGATCCGGCTAAAGTCGAGCTCAAGTTCGCCTGCGAGGTCGGTGAACCCTCCCCGAGAGAATGCTGCAGCGTGTCGGGAATATCCACCATATAGCTCATCTGCACCCAATCCAGAGAGCAGGACTCTAGCATTGGAGGTGACAGGCTTGACCTCTGCTGCCGGAAGCTGTGGGGTTTCAGAGAAGCTGCCAGTGCCGCGGGCAGCAAAGTAGAGTGCCATGGCAATGGAAAGATCCATTTCTGTATTGTGCGGGTACATGAGTCGTTGTATGGTGGCTTTGTGGGCTTGTGATTCGGTGTAGGGGACATCGATTGCCACGAACCTCCACCGTCGACCCGGGCAAACTTGACAAAGCTCAGCAAGACTGCTGCGGCCCGTCATTCGATCTGGGCACAGCTCGTAGGCCGATTCTGTAGCATTAGCCATGGCAGCGAGGGAACGTGGATTCTGGAATGCCACATTCAGCAGGTCTATTGCTTCTTCCTCGGGTAGGACTTCATGCATGAGACGAGCAAGCAATGTGCAATCAAGTCCTCCGGAGAAAAGGACTGCAACTTGTGCAGAACTCTGACTGTGGGAGTGAATAGGAATGTTCAAAACCCTGGTCGCCACAGCACTCTTTAGATGGTCCAGAAGATTGGTAACACTAGTAGAAGAAGGAGTCGGTTCAAGGGGATACGAGGGTTGCGTCTTATTGATGATGGCGAGCCCGCTAAGCCACGGCAGGTCGCCGCACACAATGTGTCCATCTTCCAGCGAAACAAAATGAAGGGCCGACGTGGAGACCTCGGCGTCTCCTGCATCCAGTGGATTGGTGAAAGCACTGCACACTGTCAGCGAGTCATCCCTGCCGTGGGCGACGAGTAATGAGCGCCGCCCCAGTTGATCTCTGCCGTAATAGACAGTGGAATTTGGCGCATCATAAAAGACGAATGCGAAGGGCCCGGCTATAGCGGAAAGGACCTGGACTATGCGCTGCCGATGATCTTGACAGCCACCTGAATGTGAGGCATGCACAAGAAGATCGAATATGCGTGCCGAGTCGTTTCCCTGAACCGCGGTCCCCTCTACTTTCCAAGCCTCTCCATTCCAACAGAGGACAGATCCCGAAGAGGATTCCTGCAACGGCTGCTGTTGGACATAGTCCCCTCGCAGTGCTAGAACAGAAGAGACGAATGTGAGAACTATGTCGCGGGGTGCGGCAGGGACTGCGATGTGCAACTGTTTGTAGCTGTCTGGCCCTCTCGCAATCAACTCGTCCTTGACAAGATCGTCCGGGCAAAGCTCACGTGCTCTCGCGAGAGAGAAGAAGATGCCGCACATCAAGCTGAACTGGCCGTGGAGAGCGCCGAATCGATGCGGCCACTTGCTGCCGCCGAATATACCTCTGCGCGATCTGGTGAGGTGGACATGGGATGGAGATGAGGCGGAAGTGAAATGAAAGTGAGCGTCGACCTTCGACCCGAATACTGCCATTTCCTCGACAAATCAGAAGCTGCAATTCCCGACCCACATGTGCGGCTGCACGATGCCGACATTGGCGGCCTTGCAGTATCTCCGACAGTTATGCAGGGCTGCGACAACTCATCCTTGCAAAGGATTGAAGTAGTCCAGCTTCCTTGAAAAGGAGACTCTGTTGCGGCACATCTACCTCGGAAACTATCGCGGACTCGAGTCTCCTCATCTCAGCGACACTCTGAGGAGCCCGAGGACCATATCGTCGCGTGACGTCTGATCGGCCTTGTCGTCATCCAGCATGTATTACCACTGAATTGGTGGTTGCACCAGCCCGAACCCGCCTCCATTCACGAAGCACGGTGTGGTGCTGATCACCGGCTAATGTCAAAGTTACCCTACATCCATCTGCCAAATGTCATCGAACGACAGCCATGCAGCCATGGACACCGAGCAGAAAACCGTACCGACGGAAATACCGGAGCCAAATCTCATAGATTTAGACCCAGATACAGATACAGGGGGAGTCGTCCGCAAAGACGACTCTTCTGGAGATGTATTTTCGGAAGGAGCCAGTGAACCAGGAACGGGCGCCGCGGAGCAGATCCACAGACTTGAGATCAATGATCCGAAGTCTGACAGCAACCATGGCCCGTCACCAAAACTCCTTCCCTCCACTCCTCCACCTCCTGAACCGCCAGCGGCTAGCGAGAAGCCATACCTCGACCCTACTCCGAAGACCCCAGCCATATCGAGACATGCGTCCGTGAGATTATCAGAAGAAGAGTATAATGAGAAAGACCCGGCCTATACCCCGGAAACAGAGGATAACAATGCAGAGTTGCCTGATCAGAAGCCGAACAATGACCCAGATGTGGAGTCTACGTCAGAAATTCAGAGCATCATGGACCAATTCGATGATGAGACAGCGGCCCCCTCAAAGGAATCAATTATGTCTCCCAGACACGAACTGACAGGTCCTATCCTGGGGTCGACCAGTGGTTTCCCACCTAGGAGGTCAAGCTTGGAACACCTTCGATCTCGGGAATTGGACACCGTAGCATCTCCAGTCATCTCTCATCACTCAGAAAAGCCTCTGCCTTCGCCCCCGCAAGATGCTTTGAACCATGAGTCAGGTCCTCTGAGGAGTCCACCGTTGAAGGGCCCTGGGCAAGCCTCGACAACTTCTCTGCCGGCGCAACCACCGCCTCCAGAACCCGAACCTGAATTACCGTTTGACTTTCACCGATTTCTCGAGCAGCTCCGGCACAAATCTGCTGATCCGGTTGCTAAATTCCTTCGCTCCTTTCTAACAGAGTTTGGAAAGAAGCAATGGATGGTTCATGAGCAGGTCAAGATTATCGGCGACTTTCTGGCGTTTATCACAAATAAGATGGCTCTCTGCGACGTTTGGCGAGAAGTGTCGGATAATGAGTTCGACAACGCCAAAGAGGGAATGGAAAAGCTTGTAATGAATCGATTATACTCCCAAACCTTTTCTCCGGCAATTCCCCCTCCACCTCAGCTTGGGCGATCACGATCTAGAGGGAGACGGAAAGAGTTGGAAAAGTCCTCGGTGCCAGGACGACGTGGCCAGCACCAGGAAGACGTGGAGCGCGACGATATTCTAGCGCAGAAGATAAGGATTTACAGCTGGGTCCGAGAGGAGCACCTCGACATCGCTCCGGTGGGACCCAATGGCGAGAGGTTCCTCAAGCTTGCTCAACAGGAACTTCTCAAGATCAAGGGATATCGAGCGCCTCGGGACAAGGTCATTTGCGTTCTGAACTGCTGCAAGGTCATATTCGGGTTGCTCAAGAATTCCAAGAGCTCGGATACCTCGGCGGATTCATTCGTGCCCCTGTTGATCTACGTGGTTCTGCAGGCCAACCCAGAGAATATGGTCTCCAATGTGCAGTATATTTTGCGCTTCCGAAATCAGGAGAAGCTCGTCGGCGAGGCCGGGTACTATCTCTCTTCATTGTCCGGCGCAATCCAATTCATTGAAGGCTTGGATCGCACAACTCTCACAGTCAGTGATGAGGAATTCGAGCGTAATGTCGAGAATGCGGTGGCGGAAATCGCGGAGCAAAACCGTCAGAACGAGCAACTCAGCCCTATAGCTGGGTTTGCAGAGAAATCATCAGTTGCAGAACCGGAACTCACTCCACGAAACTCTATGGATGTGACTTCACGGAGTCCCATCCGCAGGGATCCGAACAGGCATAACACCAGCTCCGGAGACGGGTCGGATGACAGTGTTGCGGGCTTGTTGAGGACAATCCAAAGGCCTCTTTCCACGATCGGACGGATATTCTCCGATCAGGATACATCATCGCAGGAGCGCCGGCCGAGCCCGAACCCAGCACCTCGGCCTCCTCCACGGCTGAGTCCAAGCGTATTTCAACCGCCACCTTCTCAAGCTCAGGCCGGTGCCGTACCCTCTTATGATGCGCAAGAAGCCGCAGCCCGTCAAGCAAGTGCCGAAGCAGCTGAAGCACGACGCATTTCCAGAGTCGAACACAGGACTGTGGTCGACACTCTATGTGGAATGTTTCCGAACCTGGACAAGGAGGTCATCGATGACGTGGTGCGGCAGAAGGAAGGGCGAGTAGGGCTTGCGGTGGACGCTTGCTTGGCGTTGACTGCTGGGGGTTGACCAACTGGGTTGAGTTGTCTATCTCGATTTTTTATCCTGATTGGAAGGATCGAGGCGTGCTCAACTGTGTGGAGCTGTGTTGTGATGTTAGAAGCCGCTGCCGAGAGGATCACGCTTCAAGGACAACCTAGGCAATCAACGCACCCTTCGCCCTGGTCAATGGCCATTCCTTTCATACACCAGTCCTGGTCCAGCCTCGGGCCCAGCATGGACATGTGGACTGAGCTGCATGTTAGCCACCTTGAGTAGGAACTGCCGCTTGGCTGGTCGTCTGCTATGGCCTGTATCGCAATCCCCGGTACGCTGTGAGGAAGCAGAAGTGGTCGGGGACAAAGCATGAACGTGAAATCGAGCCCGACTGTGTGGCAGGCACGCGGACCGCGTCGAGAAGTGGACCATATAATTGCAACTCCAATTTGAAATTCCCATGACATGTCAAGACGTCGATACCAGCCAGCCAGGCGTATGATGGAGCAATGGCATACGTAACTTTACTACGTACTCACGACCCGGTGGCACGTGTTCTGGGATGGTCAAGCAAGAGGCAATACGCACGCCAGACAGTGCCATGCCATGCATGCTACCGTCCTCGTAGTAGTCCAGTACCAATATTTATTACAGGTCAGGGCTCGAGATGGGGCGATCGACTCAGTTGGGTCCACGCGCAGGAAGATGGGTAGGGAAAGGGGCAAGATTGGACAACTCGAGGATGAGTGCGCGTTACAGTACACAATTCCCCGTTTCAGAGATGACATGACATGACATGACCGTGATTGTGGGATCGAGTATTGTACCTTTATTCGGAAGACGTATCACGGTCCGAGGACCGGTTGTCGCTGGTCGTTGGTCGCTGGTCGGTAGCCGCCAGTCACGGGTCAACATTGATATGCTGTAATGACCACAAACCACCCACGATTCCAGCGGAGGACTCAACGACACCACCACCACTGATTATAATACTATAGCCATGATGATAATGACAACTCCCGTGGAAAGCAGCTTGCGCAAGGAGCATATATTGTAGATGTCTTTTCGTATCTGATCACAGTACTCCGTACAGTTACTTGGTACTTACTGTACCGTGTACTTTGTCCAGATCAAGATGGCAGAGATTTCGTCGTGGGTGGCGAGCTCGAGAGTTCCATACAAGAGGTCTAAGTTGTCATATTCGTGTTGGACTCTATCCTTGGCAGTACTCCGTACAGTATGTATATACCTGTATTCCCTACCTCACACTCGGGTTGCCTGACTACCCAGGTACACCTCAATGGTAGGTACATAGGTACCTACCATTCATTGGCCCACACGTCCAGAGAAACATACAGTGTGCAATATTCTGGTGCTGGGAGGGGGAATGCTGTCACCCGTCGCCTCGTCCGCGCGCGCACAACTCACCGGCGCCTTGGGATGGTTCGAAGGCGAGAAAGACGAGGGCGAGGCTGGTGAGGCTGCTGGTCCTGCTGACGTCAAGTCACTGCTCAGCCAGGCTGCCGCGCCGGATCGAGTACCACAGGAGACTGTAAATGCACGCCGAGTGAGTGGCCCGTACAAATGCATGGCATCTGCACGGTCTACTTGGCACTGCGATCGTAGCTCGTGCGCCTACACAGTAGGGTGAAGGAACATGCCGTCGCGCAAGGGTGCTCCCTTTGCGGGGGTGGGCAACTAGACGTCGAGAACCTCGACCTCGAATTGGTCATGCATGCATATACACACACACACACGGTAGACTGGGCATGCCGGGCCTAACGCGGATCTGGACGATGAAGACTTGCCGGGGTTGAGTAAACATCGATGAAAGGTTGACTACGCAAGCACATCGGCCCTGCGTCAACGGTTCGGGATGACTCCTCGAATTCCAGCATCTTCACCGTGGGAGAGGGCCTTGGAAGGCGAAGTATTCCCCGTCCCAACATACGGAGTATACAAAGGTGGTTGCTTGGTCTTTTGCATTTGACCGCCCGCACAAATTAATGTCGAGTAATTAGGTATATTGTGATTGCCCACATCATCTCCTGAGTACAAGAGGCGCACTGGCTCCTTATCCCCGGATGAGTCGTTCCGTCAATGTCGGACAAAAGCATGACTTGTGCAGGGGAGACAGTCAGCAATGCAGAAAAAAGTTCGGACGAATTTCCCTCACAGCACTCGTACCAGCATCAGGAACACGAGGTACGCAGAAGCGGGCATCGCGGTGGCGAGCGTGAGAGTCCGATTCGGCCAGCGGCAGCCACGGCGGGCGGGATCGGATTTGGACAGTCAGGCTTCCACAGGCCACCGGCCTCGCGGCAACCCAATGAAATCCGCACCGAATCACTGGGCGGAAGATGCGACGACCGGTTTGCGCGAGTAGCCCGGGCCCGCCTGTCTTTGCCTTAAGGTTTGAGGGAGGCGGTGTCTGCAGGAGCCTCGGCGAGCTGGATGCACCAACGTTAAACTACTAGGTGATATGCTACGTCGGATCCGATGGCGCGTCTGATGACCAGCATTCTATCCCACTGGGAAGGCTGGCGGACGAGATCGCAGATTGGAGGAGATATTACCGCGGCTACATGTTCTTCCCGGGTAGATCACGTATCCCGTCTCTCGTGCCTGATCAGGAACGGATCGTGCAGGAAGGTGGTAAAGTGCAAGGTTTGTCTTAGCGTTGCCGTCAATCCATGATCATCCTTTGACACCCGTCCACTGCTTCCGGTGGAATGTTGCTGGTGTTTTCGACTAATGTTGGGTCTGTCCTTCCTCGATATGGTTGCAGGTTCGTGGCTCTGGTCGCTAGCTCTCCGTCACAGTCTACCACGACGCCAGAGTCCGGCTGGACAAGGTTATCCGGAGTTTGAGGGGTTTTCTTGCAATGAAATCATGGATAAACGTGATGCTATGCGTGATGCGAGGCTCTCGTGGGCCGAGTCGACCAGATGAATCAACATGTCATGATCCACGGTCGTTACTTTTGCTCAGTCTCACATAGGATGTCGAGGGGGACCGGTCAGTAATTTCGATTGACACCGATGCGAGACTGGTGCACTGTGTAGTGGCAGAGAGGCGATCTGTGGCCTCAGGTCCTGGACAGTAGTAGCACGTAGGTGTCATTTCCGGGCATCCTCCCTTAGCCGTACCCCGCCAAGCTCCGCCGGAGTTGATGCGCCGGTCGCTACCAGGTCCATTTCGATTTTGCTGGGGAGAGAAGCAGTCGGACTACTATCGAATGCAGTAAGAGATTGTCAGAATGTTACTTCTAGTGAGATCTGTTGAGAGCACATGCTTCTGCGAGCCCCGGTGCGGCCGAAGAGGATTCATGTCAGATCGATGTAAAGTGGTAGTCCACTTTCCGGTAATCGATGGGTCGAGCGGCCGAAGGCCCGGATGATGCACTAACGTGGTCCTCACGCGGCACCATGATGAGCAAGCAGTACCAGAGCAGATAATGGGCACTTTGCAATGGTGGTAGCATGACCTGGTCACTGAACCCGTCTCACGCTTGAAAGTGCGACATCCGTCCACCGCAAGAAGGAAGGCAGGGTTTAGAGAGCGAGCTGGGAAGGAATGCGTCAGGTGCGACCAATTGAGATGCCAGTTGCAAGTGAGAACGCATGTGAAAGGCGCAAGGCGTGTCATCATGCTAATTGGGTATTGTTATCATTTTGGCGTAAATCTCTAGCTCTGATGACCGTTCCCGTCCTCCATCGCATGTAGGGACGGCATGTGGCCTGAACGGTGACCAAAACCACCGCAGCCGAAGGCCATGTGCGTACTCGATTCGGTAGCCAAAACTCAGGTCGATGCCTCGTCAAGATCGAAAAAGTCGTCAACACTGAGTGCACCATAATCATAGATGACAATCCCTCGGTGACTGCTGACATCCTTCTCATCTTGTGGTTCCTCGGTCGCCGGGCTCAACCCAGATGAATGCACGTCGTATTCCCTCGGTCTTTCATCACCAAGGCCCTCGGCACCCTCCTGTGCAGTTGCAGGGAACATTGTCCGTAGCAGCGACTCGTCAATCTCAGAGTAGTCCTCGGGCGCCACTTCGACTTTGCTTTGGTCCTGTCTGCGCTTGCGGGTGGGAATTTCCTCTTGCTGCATTGGAGGAGTCCCACCCAGTAGATCTTCCATCAAGTCTCGTTCGTTGTCGGTGAGGCGCATACCATCAAACAGGTGGCCGAATGGTCCGGAGCGGAACTGGTCACACACAGTGCCAGGGGTTGGGCAACTATCGGTAGAGGCAGGAGATGGAGCTGAATCTAGTACCAGCGAGCCTGGGGAAGGCACAGCATCCTCGGCGGTATGAAAACTCGTGTTGGGACTGCTGGGGCTTGTGTAACGATGGCTGTCTTTAGGATGGAGGTGACGAAGGTAGTTCCTCAGAAGTGAAGGCTCGATGAAGCTCGGGAGACATGACTTGTTGCTTGTTGGGTGCTTGGACTGCTGGGTTGACGTGCTGCTCACGGGCGGAAACAGCGCTTGAGAGTCCGAGTTCGACCTCTTCGTATGGGGAATTCTGCTATCCTCGGGGCACGATGACCGTATCCCATGTTGTTGCGCCGTCAGTGCAGAGAGCCTATGGCGCTCTTGACCCAAGTTTGTCTCATAACTCTGCCTCCGCTGTGCTGCTGGAGCCCCCCTTACCCCTCGCGGAATCCCAGACTCCAGCTTCCTCCTCTTTGGGGCCGGTTCATGCCATTTGTTCCCAAGAGCCTCAAGCTCAGCCTGGGGGAACAGTAGGTCGACAAAAGACATGGTGGCCAGCTGCTTCAAATATTGACGTCAAACACTAGCCGCTGATGATATCCCGAAGCACTGATGTATATCGGAAGCGGGCACGCAGGATTTGTAGAACTCACGGGAAGCAATAGACGGCGGGAACGGAAAAGGGTTTATAGTCAGTGTTCACAAAACGAGGGACCAGGATGTGGGTTTGGCGGCCGCTGGACAAGGGTCTCCATCATACAACAAGGGCAGTGCTTCCCACCGGCCGTAAACAAGGGGTTCGATCAGCCGGAGCCTACTGGGTATGCAACACCTGCAGTGCGGATCGGGTATAGGCTTGGGATGATGCGTTTGCCAGGGGAGAGCGGATAAGCATGGAGCATAGGAAGAGGAAAGAATACGCAAGTGTTCGGAGCCAATAAGCCCAGGCCTGGTGCGCCTCGCCGCCATGGGACGACAAGGCGAGTGCTCCACGTCAGAATGGGCTGACTGAGAAGCAGTGTCGCAGCTAACATACTTAGCGACTCAGCTGACGAATAAGGCGACAGATAAAGGTGGGAAAGCCGTCCACTCAGTACACAAATGGACTTGGCTTTTCAAAGTTTCAAAGAAGAAATTTTAGATATATGCGGAGTTGCTTTCGGGGCGATGTTGGGGGGGGTTCGGGGCAAACTCCTCCTCTCATGACGAGCACCAAGACATGGAGTCTCCGTAAATCCCCGTTCGAGCCTTTGCTCTGATTCCTCGCAGCCATGCAACCATGTCTGGGGATGTGGCAAGCTGGAGACTGGGGGTGGCAACATATTCCGTATTGAGCTAAGCGATAGCGACAGAACATGATACATACGGAGTCGGCGCACGGTCAAAGGGGATTTCCCGTTGTGACGCGACTTGGAAATTGTGCTTCGCATTGGACTGACTCGTCGAAGGTGCCTGGAACAGTGCTTTACTATGCAAGACGTTAGTAACTCATAGTCGGTCTCGCCGCTCAACCTTGTCTGTGGCAGCTCGACTAACTTACCGGTCTTGGCGCGATCACGTGCACCGCACAACCCTTTCCTATCATTTTCAGCCAGGATCGGCTCCAAATTGTCAACAGCCATCGTCTGAAGCGAGACACTACTGACTCAGTATTTGGTAGCAGAAGATCTCCTTGCTAGAGCTGTCCCACCGCAACTTCAAGCTCAGCTGAGCATTTCCAGAGGCATTTTCTGGGACATCCTTCGTATGTGGGACACCCATCGTCTTGGCACAACCAGGATCTTCGGATCCGAATTTCTTAACCACGGCACGTGGCTCGGAAAGACCAAAGCTGCTTCCCACCGGCTATTTGGGAACACAACGGCTTTCCAGCGAGTTGCACAGTACGTACGTGCCCGAGGCTGCTTGCAGTGCCTCTGCCTCTGAAGCAAGAAACTGATGAGCGCGACTACTGTATGCGAGTCCGAGCCTCATCAGCCTTGTCATAAATGAGGCACCGACCCCCTACGCCTGTCTCTCCATCATCACGGCTTCCAGATGCCAAACAATACCTCGCCGTTTCCAGTCAGGAAAGCAACCGCACAAATTTGCAGCACATGCTCCTTGATCCTCAGTCGCTCCGTTCGTGCTTCGTCCGTCCTGTTGCAGATCGCATGTCCGTTTTGCAGCACTGTATCCAGGACATCTCCGGCTTGATGTTTGAAATCATTGAGACTTTACTCCACAATGTCAGAAAGTCAGAATTTAGCCAAGTTCCAGCCAATGTACGGGGTACGGGGTACGAGGGGCGCAACACCCGCTCAACCGACTTTGACTACTCCAACTCCAGAGCGAACTTGCCAGCTCTCTCACACTGTTAGGCCAGCTTAGTCACCAGATACCGGAACAAACATTCTCGTTCCACAGAGCACCCAGTAATGGTATGCTGTTCTGACAAATTCGAACACCGCACACAGTGCCATGGTCTCCTGAGTGAAGGCGACTCCGAAAGCTACTGAAACTGCGATTGTGTAGTGGGGAGCTGATTCAAAGCCCTTAGATGGGAGCGTCATCTTGGAGACACCGATTGTTGTTTTCTGATTATTCTATCGGTCTTCTGGCCGCTGCTTGCCAGCCCTAGCGAGCCACGCCCTTATCAAAGCCCCCTGGCGTCCACAGCGCCTGGCAGACGTTCCTGAATATCAGCCATTGGTCAGCCTTGCCATCGGCACCGGCTAAGCAGCATGGGGCGAGCAAGAGCCCTGGATGACAACTGGTTTGGGGTCCAGGATCCGCGAAAGAGGAAACAGATTCAAGACAGATTAGCACAAAGAGCGCGAAGTTCGTCACACTGTCCTCCACAAAGACTGTCTGGTGTATCCCTTTTCCGCTGACACGCTCGACAAGGGAAGCGCCTGGCAGAAGCCAAAAAGCCATCTGAGGCACTCAGCAGCGAAGAACACGGATGCGAGAGCGCCTCAGACAAGTCACCGCACAGCATTACCACCGTTGGCAGTTTCGGTGGCGAGGGCAGCGTGACAGACGAGTCTCGTCGTCTCGTTGCGATGGTACCTCGGCTGCCCTCGGGGCAACAAATCATGGTAGCGACAAACAAGGGAAATTCTGGCATCATCGCCACGATTTCCAATTCCATCTACGGAGCTCTGTATCGAAATGGCGCAATGGTACGTTTCAGCTTGGGAGATCTATATCTTGCCGATAGTGGTGGGTGGGAGGAGGGCAATGCGTGAAGCCGTGGCCGAGCCTCCTTTGTTTTCCTCTTGCGTCTTTGAAGGCACTTGCGCTGACTCTCCAAAACTTGGAAGATGGGCATCTCTTGCGCGGTCTCTTGTTCGAGCAAGTCCTGCACAGTTGGCCCCGAAATCCCCGAGTCATTACGTCCCACCGAGCTACAACTGACAGTCGTGCATCCTCGTTGGATCGATCGCTTTCCATTCCCAAAAATGAGAGATAACGTGATCACGCTGATGGGTATCATCGACGAGGAGGAATTTTTGGCCGACTTGTTCTGCCTCACAAGCTTTACCTTGGACTCTGGTGCAGCGCCATGGGATCCCAAAGCGTGGCGGATTGGAAAAGAGTTCTCAGCAAAATGGGGTTATTTATTCTACTAGGAGGATTCCAGCATTTCGAAAGCTACCCAGGGGCAACACATGAGCATTAACTCGTCTAGCATCAATTGATGATCTCATCCGTAGGTTCAATCTCCATCCAACACTACATCTCATCCTGCCGTCGCAATCGCCTTGACGACGATGGCAGCAAGTTCTTGAGGAGCAGTGATATTGGGGCAATGCGCCGCGCTCAAGCGAAGAACATCCACCTTCTTCCCGCTCTCCCGTTCGATACCGGCAATCACCGATCTTTGAAACTCCGGCGGCAAGATGACATCCTTCTCACAAAAGATATACGAGACGGGGATCTTGTTGTACCCCGGATATGTAAGCTTTCCCTCGAAGCTGGACGCCGAGTGATAAGACATCCTCTCCGCCCAGACCTTGGCCTCCTCGAAAGGCAGATCCGAAAAGGTCAACTTGGCACTTTCCTCGGTAACATGGCTCATGAACTCGCCCTGTGTTCCGCCAGTCAGTCTTTCTGCGGTCCTGCAACCAGAATCCCCCCCTCCGAGCTGCATAACTCACCTCTATGTTGATGAACGATGGGACCAACTCGCCCATCAGGTCCTTCAATGAGTTCCCCGGTGTCGGCACCACCGAGGTGACGTATACGAACCTCGAAATCCCACCGGCTTTGCCCGCCGCTTTTCGCTCCTCCTTTGAAAGACCCTTGGAGCACTCGGTCCCTGGAATGCCGCCGTACGAGTGTGTCACAATGACGACGTCCTTCCCCTGGTCGGCCAGTTTCTCCACGATGTCGCGGAAAAGGTCCGTGTCGTCCTGCATGGTCGCCGCTTTCTCGCCCCGACGAGGCGACCGAGCGGATGATGGCAGTGTTTCGACGATGGCCTCGTAGCCATGCGAGCGCAATGCGTCGACGACATCGGCGTAGAATGGGGCCGGCGAGAACGAACCCGGGACGATGACGAATACGGGCTTGTCGACGTTAGAGGCCGGGTCTTGAACCATTTTGAAAACCAGGACTAGGAAATGGGAAGCGCCAAGACTATCGGCTGTGACAGTCGCGCTGTATGTAGCTTGGGCGGCTCCCTTGAGTCTTTGACTGTGACGGGTCGAGTCAGCCGAGGACGTATCTAGGCCGCAGTTTGGACGAGATGGGCGCGCGACACTGACTGATAGACACTGCACGTAAACGCGTCCACTTGATGCTCCCAGCGGTCGATTAAGCTAGAAGGTTCCTGCACTTCAAAGTAGAGTTCTGGTTTGCGTGGATATGGACATGGACATGAATTTCATGAATGATAAGGAGACGGACCTCAACTTCAACGCTCGCGAGTCGAGTCGAGAGTAGAAGGGACGGACATAGCACAGACAGCAACCCTTTTACGAGAAGGCATAGTCAGAAATCAGCGCACGACCCCTCATTCATCAATGAATAATGTAGAGTCTCGGGTTAGGAAAATCAATGCGGCAATCCAGAGTCAGAAATTGGTGCCGTCAATGTCAGAATGTCCTCGGCAGCCAGCAAGTCAGCAAGCAAGCTAGTTGGTGGAATGGCGTGGCGTGTGGTATGCCGATTCTACATCGTCGCGGGTCGTATATACACAAGGTTCAATACCACAGGAATGCGCTCTGTGGTGATACATCAGACGACCTTACGATCTAGTCGCGAGGGAGCTCACCATGTTGCTGTAGGTTCGAGTGGCGGATCCAAGATTATCGATATACATGTTCCATGATGATGATGAGAGACAGTATTATATCTCCGGGAGAGATTCTACGCATGCTTGTATGCTGAAATGATGTCTAGAGAGAACAACTTGGATTGAGAGGACAGCTGACCTACGACCACGAGAAAATAAGTGAGTTAGCGAGTACGTACGTGACTGAGCGACCGACTGAGAGAGTGACGATTGAGCGAGGTGAAAGATACAACACAGCGTACGGCGGACGGAAAGCTACAAATAGATTATACATACTTACGTGGGTTACGTAGGTACAGAGTGGTGTACATATATATGTGTGTTCACAAGGCTGAAAGGGGGGAACATGCACCGTGACTTTCCTCGTCTCACCTATTCTACCGTACCTCGTACAGTGCTCGAGTCTGAGTCTCATTCTGAGCCTGAGCCTGAGTCTGAGACTCGTACCCGCAAACTCAATCTCCCCCCAACTGAGGCGAAGCTGTACGGTGTAGAGATGAAGTACTCTATGACCCTTGCAAGACGCACTCTCGAATGCGAGACGGATGACGAGGGACGGGCGCAGCGCGACGCCTCATCGGCCTCAACCTCGCATCATACATTTTCCATGATCCCAGGCATCACGCGTTCAACCAACTTCCTCACCTCTTTCGATAACTTCTTCTGAATTTCCAAGCCCTCGACACTGGTCACGGAGTCGGACGGCCCAGAAATCCGAGAAATCCCATTCAGTTAGTCAGTTGTGTGTCTGAGAACAACCGAAGGAAGACTGCAGTCGTGAAGAAGCAATAAAAAACACAGTGGATACTAACCACGCAGTCACCGCACAGTCGCTCAAACACCGGCCATGCGTCTCCCCTGCGCCAGCTGCACCGTGTAATATCGTCCGGGCTCCCACTTCGGCCGACCGACCGCGCCAGAACAGTCCTGAGCGGCTCAAAGAAGATGCGGAACAAACCGCCCCGCGCTGCGCATTATCCCGGTCTTGACGAAGCCGGGGTTGACAACCTTCACAATGATGGTGCCGGGTTTGGCCTTGTCTTTGGGTAGTCAGAATCAGACTTACACTCAGACCGAGTGGTCTGGCTGGCTAATATGCTCGCGGGCCAAGAGCAGAGCTACAGTACCAGTTTGGAGACGTGGGATCTGGTGGGAGTAGAGGCCAGCTCGGTTTAGCATCGGTGTGGATTCTCGAGATAAGGCGGCCTGAACAAGCTAGGTAGTAGGTAGTAGGTAGTGGGTAGTAGGTAGTAGGTAGTAGGTAGTAGGTAGTAGGTAGTAGGTAGTAGGTAGTAGACACACGGCATTGAACAGCACCGTACGACCCAGCGAACGTGACGACGCACTCCTTGTTGAAACGCACGGACGTCTCGCGGAGCTTAGGAAGCAGCAAAAGGCAAAGAAACAAATACACATCAATGGTCGACTCGGTGACCCCGGCCAGCGAGAAGTCGTACTGTAGATCACGACGCCTGCGGTTGTTGGGCAGCGCATCTAGCCTGTCGAGAGTCGTCGACGCGCGGTCCGCAAACGGCTGGACGCCCGCATACGAGGCAAGGTCCAGATCTCATACCTCGACGACGCCCGGGCCGGCTCGAATGTGGATCGTCCGATCGACTGACTGCGTGGCTGTCTGTCTCGCCTTTGCATCTGCTTCGCACGGCGAGGAAGACTTTCTCGGCGTCTAGACGGACGGAGTGACGCGCTGCTTCGAGGCCTACACCCACGTTCGAGCCGGTCACGATGATGGTTTGTCCTGTGTACGGTTTGGATGACACTGGGAGGGTCTTGAATTGGGTGGGAGTGGGTGAAGTTTGCCACGAAGGACGAGGCCGGGGCCGACGAGGCTGGCCATGCCGACGGGGGATGTCGTGTAGTGTTGTGATTGGGATAGAGATGCACCAGATAGCTAATGAGGTCGAATAAGACGGTGACCAGCGATACATGCACACTCAACAGTGCACAATATGTGTGTTGGAGACGAGGAGGGTCGCGACACCGTCCCTGACGTGAAGAACGATCGGATATTTCTCACAGCAGGTAGTGCAGCTGGTCGTGCGCACTGCTCATGCTTTCCTGTAGTCCGTCCTTTGTATGCACGGGGGCTCTGACTCGGTCAGATGCTGCCGTGAAGCTGAGCCTGTACACGCGTATCTGGCTCAGAGATGCGAGGGTTATCTTCTGTATAGTCTTCCGCACCAGGTGCGGTTGCAGTACGTATACATCTCCGTACGGGGTCCAAACTCGAGACGCCTATCCAGCACGAGCGTAGTGATGAAAGCCACATTACAGTAGCTAGTGCGGGTGATCAGGACGAACAGACAGATTTGCGGGTCTGGTGGACTGCAAGAAAGACATTGACATGCCACCTCGTGCTTCATGTCGAGTACATACGCTTCTCCGTGAGAGCTCGATGCTTGATGCGCGTGGTAGGCTGTGATCCTGGAGGACTCACGCCGGCGGGATACTGTGTGGAGCCGAAGTATTCTCATACTGTGAACGGAGTAGGTGGCCGCTGAAATCAGCCAACGAATAATTACCACCTGACGCAGACATACCTTGTGCACAGTATGTACAGAGTATATTGCAATCTTACAGTACAGTGTCAGACGGAGCACCCTGCATCCTGCTGACTTGTGAAATCCCTAGCATTTGGCCCTCTGGAGCACGCCGGACCGTGTACTGTACTCCGTACTCCGTATAAAGTAAGATCCGCCGGAACATACACAGTGCAGTAGGATAAAGGCTTTTATTATCTTCGACTCGAAGCACGATACTCCGTATAAAGTAAGTGATATCCACCGGAACATACACAGTACAGTAGGATGAGGCTTTTGTCATGTTGAGACTCGAAGCACGATAGTCCGTATTTGCTCTTCCATCTCCTCTTCTGGTCGCCGTTACAAGTCGAGGGGCCAAATACACTTGCGGTACGGAGTACCAGGAATGGAGACTGGCCGTGGGTGCTTCAGAAGGCCAAGGACAGTCCAGGACAGCGCAGTTCTGGTGATTACCGAGTACAGTCAAACGCGTGCCTGTGCCGTACCTAGGTAGCCTTTGGTTCACCGACCATCTCACAGAACGGATGACGTGTCGATAACGGCGTTTCACAGAATGCTCTTTTTGGCAGACTCAACTATACAGACTCTAGACGACATACGTCAAGGCGGACACTGTTCGTTCCTGTACCCACATCATCCTGGGTGCCATCCCTACCTACTGAATCTTCACACTCCAGGGATGATCCTCATCACCGTACTGGATGCCCTCGATCCAACCTTTCATCCTGCTCGCGATCTCTCCAGCTTCCTCGGTAGGCTTCAACCCACAGTCCAGCACACGATCTCTCCAAACGATCTTCCGCACGGGTGCCACGATGGCTGCGGTGCCCGCGCCAAACACTTCGATCAATCGTCCCTCGCTCTCGGCTTCGGCCAAGTCCTGCATCTTGACGTAACGTTCTGCCACGTTCCATCCCTCGGGCTCTAACCGCTCTCGAGCCAGTGCGAGCACCGAGTCGCGCGTGACACCTTCGAGGATCGTCCCGTCGAGCGGTGCCGTCAGGAGTTCCTTCTGTCCCGTCTCTTTGTTCTTGATGCAGACGAAGAGGTTCATCGTGCCGACCTCGGTGATGTACTCTTCCGGCCCGAACAGCCACAGGTTCTGGTGCAGACCTTTCTTCGCCGCCTTGAGCTGGGGGACGATGCAAGGCGCGTAGTTTGCGCCCAGCTTCTTGTCGCCGACGCCGCCGGGCCAGGCACGCACGGCATAGTCTGTCGCTTCCAGCGAGATGGCCTTGAAGCCGGTCGGGTAGTATGGGCCCACGGGGGAAGCAATCACATAGAGCAGTGCAGAGCCGGGGGGTCCCACGCCCAGCGTCCGTTGTGTCCCAATCAGCGTGGGCCGCAGGTATAGCGAATAGCCCTTCTCGGAGGAAATGAACCGTTCGTCCAACTTGCACAGCGTGCCGATCAACTCGGTCAGCTTGTCGCCGTTAAACGTGGGCAACGCAATGCGCGCGGCGGATTTGTTCATGCGCTGCATGTTCTTGTCCGGCCGGAACAGCCGCAGCGAGTGGTCCTTCTCGCACTTGTACGCTTTCATGCCCTCGAAGCATTCGAAGGCGTAGTGGAACACGCACGTCGCCGGGTCGAGCGAGAGGTTCTGGTACGGCGTTATCCGGGGCGGGAGCCATCCTTGCGAAGCCGTCCATTCAATGGAGAGCATATGGTCTGGAAGTTTCGTGTCAGACCTGGGCCTTGTCCATCGTGGTCAATCTCCTCCCAAAGAGCACCCAACATACCTGTAAAGGTCCTCCCAAACACAAGGTCCTGGTTCGGTACCAGTGCTTTGGGGGTAATGGTCTTGGTGACATCGAGTTTGGAAGGGTCGATGCCCGGCAGTTTTGAGGACAGGTCATCCTCCACGTGTAGCGACTCTAGCCGTCGTCTCGACGTCGAAAACAATCTGGGTGAGGGTAGGAGCCGCAGCGAGTCGTGCTTGAAGGGGGACGAGGTGAGAGCGCGTGCGCATGGGCTGCGCAGTAGCCGAGGAAGCGACATGGTTTGTTTCTGTTCTATTGCCCTTTAACCATAGAGAGGGAGAGCGAGAGCTGGGTATTTATGGCAGCAGCAGCAGCACCAGTCGACGAGCCACTTCTGAGTCACGGTATCGAAAGCTGATCGATGGCAGGCTATTGTCGAAGGGCGGGCGGCGCGGCGTTTCGTGGTCAGCTACAATTTCTCGAGACTTAATTAATTAGGTGTTATTCGTCCTGCGTCCTGCCTCCCCCCGACATCGGTGGTTCGGCTCACACGACGCCCCCAATTTCCGCCTCTAAGCGGCTCGCTAGGCACGACGCGCAGCAGCTAATGGCTGGCGCCGCTTTAATAGGTCCGGGGAGTCCCCGTTAACTCCAGACTGCGGTGCTTTGGATGCGGCCGACTCTGTCACTGGCCGATTCCAGTTCCTGATTCTCGACTTATGGGTTCGCTAAATCGATATATGTAGTTCTACCGCTATGGAAGGAGAAATCGTGAAGTACCAAGTACGGATGGGCGCATGCCGCTCAGTCGCACACCGCTGGACTGGTATCAACGGCATACCATGTGCATCCCCCTCAGGGCCTCTCAAAGGGGCAACAATATCGGCAGGGTCGACTCATCCAGCTTGAAAGCCCACAGACGGCCAACGGTTCCATCGCCGTGGAAGGAATCTTCAAGCGCCGGTACATTGTTGACACCAAAGCAGTATCGGGTGGGAACCTCGTCCGTGTTCTCGTAGTATTCGATCACGGTAGCACCAGCGGCTGATGCGTCCCGGATACATAATTCGAGGGCGGTCTGCAGGGTCCAGCCTCCGTAGTTGCCATCGTCACCCGGTAGATTGTTGAAGCCAAATACCGTGGTCATCCAGCCGACTCCGCCAGCTGTGTCGCCTTGGAGCGACACATGGCACGCATCATAGAACTCCTCATACGTAGTCCCGTTGGCCAGCTGGACCGACTCTGCAAGTTGCGAAGGTTCGCACACGTCTGGTGCTTCGGTGATGGCAAAGCCCCAGACCTTTCCGATTGTCGCGTCGGGATAGAAACTGGCGGTCGTGGCAGGCAGGTCGTTCACCGCAATACAGTACCACCAATCGTCTGTGCCAATGTAGAACTCGAACAGGTTGCCTCCTTGCGAGATTGTAGTGTCAGCACACTTTTGGACAGCAGCATCGAATGTATATCCAGAGTAGTCAGGAGCTTGCCAGTTCACTGACACGACGCGATTGAGGTTGACAAGTCCGCCAGGTGTATTGCCCTGGAAGGACGTGCTGCAGCCCGTGAAGAATTCTGCAAAGATCGTCCCATCTGCTGCGGTAATGTCATTGAGTGGCGCGTTCTGGCACGAATTCTCCCAGACGAAGCCCCAAACGTTAACCACGTTGGAGTCGACATAGAAGGAGGAATCGTCAACAGTCACATCGTTGACACCTACGCAGAGCCAATTCTGATTGACGTCGACGTAGAATTCAACTGCGGTGGCGCCATTGTCAACGGCGAATTGAACACACCGGCTTACGGCCTGGTCGAAGGTGTAGTCCTCCCAGTTTGCCGACGCACGCCACATGGTGGCGAACTGGTTGGGAAAGTTCGCCAGCCCGCCAGTTGTTCCTCCCTCCATCGACTCGCCACAGCCTGTGTAGAAGTTGCGGAAGGTCTGCGTCGTGTCGTAGAGAGCGGTGACATGACCAATCGCAGAAGCTGTGCATGCAGGTGGCGGTGTAGTCGTTGAGGTGGCTGAGGCCGTGGTCGTACTTGAAGTACTCCTAGAGGTCGTCGATGGCGAAGAGTTAGCCACATTGATTGGCGGTCTCGCATTAGTTCCTGATACCTTGATTGCTGTATCTGCCTCAAAATCATAAGGCTGAAACTCGATCGATGTGTAGATGAAACCACACAGATTGTTGTTTGGCGCATCCCTGTATTCAATAGAGACAGCATTGCACGAGGCGTCTTCGTTGCACTTGTCAATGCAGTCAGATAGAGTTGCCACGTCGGAATAGCTGGAGAAGAACGTCCATCCGTAGTAGCTGCCTTGTCCACAAAGAGTCTCCCATGCATCTCCATTGGTGTCGGTGAAGATCGCTCCATTGTCACAGGTAGGTGCCGGGGTTGGTGGAGTTGTGGTTGTGGTGGGTGTTGCCAAAACCATCCTGCTAGGTAAGTACCAACCGTACGCATCAGCAATGCCACCGTAAGGCTGGAATTGCGCCGGGTCATTGGAGATATCGTTCAGAGTCCAGCATACCCATCGGTTGTTGTTGCGTGTATCGGTCTCGAATTCAAAGACTGGCGAGCCGTCGCTGTCAGCGATGGAGGCGCATTCCAGCAAGGCCTCCTCATACGTGTAATCGGTGCGTAGGTACACATAGAGATTGTTGAAATTCAAAGACTGCCAATCCAAGGACAATCCACATCCAGAGGAGAAAAAGTTGACCCAGGAATTGCCATTGGTGGTCGTCAAAATGTCCCCAACTGAGGCGGAGGTTTGCACGCAGTTTGCAGGTGATGTCGTGCTTGTCACACTGGATGTGGTCGTGGTCGCAGCCGTCGTGGAAGGGGTCGAAGCAGAAACAAGGTTGTACATGTAAAAATTAGCCTGAGGAGGGGAGTATTCGTAGTCGCCTGTCTCGTCGTTTTCCAGACCGGCGTCGCAATGCCATTGATTTTCAGCCGGGACCCAGAAAGTCCTAAAAGCTGTCATACCTTGTTGCACAACATAGTCGGCACAGTACTGAATGGCATCGCAGTCGGACACGCCCGCCGGGAGGGGTGTCGCTACAGCCCAGACCCAGTTGAAGTTATACTCCACACATCCAGCCTCAACCTGTGACCATACATGTGAACCCGACGAAACTGTTTTCGTACTGCAGAGGCCGGCGCACGTTTCCGTTGCCGGTGCTGAACTGGAAGTCGTGGTCATGGTGGAGCTCGTGACCGTGGGAGTGGAGAAGATCGCTGATGGCGTGGTAGTGTTTGCTTGGTAGCCACCAGTCAGGCAAGTTTTGGAGCTGTCATTATCGCTGCAGTAGCCCTGGGCACCAGTGCCAGTGAATGAGGCAGTCAGGCAGTATGACCATTCGCCATATACAGCGCACTCCGAGTCCCACATACATGGTCTGTCGTAGTAGAAGGTGTAAGCGCACATGTTCTGTCCCCCTTGCACGCGGTTAAAGCATTGGCATTCTTGAACGCTGTCATAGATGTACACATCGGGACAGTGTACGTGGTCGAAGTAGCTACTGTCAGGCGTGCAGATCGGTGCACTTGCAGGTACAGTAGCCATAACACCAATGGTAGTGGTCGTCGAAGTCGGCGTTGTGGAGCTAGAGGAAGTAGTTGTGATGCTTGGGCTGTCATCATCCCCAACCACTTTCATAGCATTCATAGTGACAACTGTCGAGTCGTCGACGAAAAAGCCATCATCTGCCGTGAGGCCGATCCAAAAGCTGCAGTGCCACTTGAAGTCCAGTGATGACTGATAGTAAGTCCATACACCAGCTCCAAGCTGCTCGGCGTTCGCCACGCATTGGCTCAGGAAAGCGGTGGGGTCACTGCTGTAGTCTTCATTGCCTGAAGTGGCTATGGAGTAACTGCTGCCAAGTGTTGCGGGAATGGCAGCATGGCAACTGTAGAAGAATTGCGTGTATTGAGTGCCATCGGGGGCTGTCTGATCTTCCAACGGTAGGATGGAGCAATTAGGTCCACTTGTCTCCTCAGTCTTTGTTGCGGTGGTTGTGCTGGTAGTCGCCGCCCCTCCAGAGGTTGTGCTGTCCAAAGAGGTTGTACTGGTAATCGAGACGTAGACTGTCGTGGTAAGACTTGTAGAGCTGGAAATAGCAGTCGTGGTGGTCAGCGAGGATGAGCCAGTGGTTGAGCTCAGACCTAGACTAGTCGAGGTCGTAGTGGTCAACAAGGAAGAGCTAGCGGTGGTAGAAGCATCAACCGTAGATGAGGTCGAACCTAGACTCGTGGAGGTCGTAGTTTGAGGCGACGGCGTTATCGAACTAGCAACTTCGGTGTTATATGAGTCTGGGTCTGTGTTCGGCACGGGAGTAACGGGAGCACAGCCACTGTCCGTCGCACCTCCAACACTGACGGACATCACGTTGTTGGCATCGACACAAAAGCCAGCTCCTGGCATGACAAGAGCGCCACCAGTGAATGACCATATAATTGTTGTTGGCAACGCTGACACTGACGGATAGATCATTAAAGGAGAAGTCCCTGGATTACCACTGAAGCCAACGACCAACCCAGTGCCGAAAATCATCAGCACGCCATCGGAAGTGAGGACGAAAGACACAGCATCAGCTGTAGAGGTGACACGCGTCAGTGTTCCATTGACATAACCAACCACCGAGATGTCTCGCTTGTGCTTATTGGCACCAGCGGAGTTGAGCTGAATGGAAAAGGGCTGACCATATGTAGGACTCGACGTATCTGCGGATGAAGTGGTAGAAGACGAGCCTACAGTGGTCACAGCCATGGTCGTGGTCGTCATGCTTGTGGTGCTGGTTGGGCTGTCATCATCAGCTGAAGTAGCTGGAGTCGTGTCGACGGACGAGGTTGAATCCAAAGTTGTGGACGTTGTAGATCCTGTCGTGCTAGGAACACTTTCCCGATTAGCGGCCGTCGTTGCCGACGTAGACTCATGTTCCGACCTCGTCGAGCTCGGTATTGAGCAGTCTGCAGCAGGAACTGTGATGGTCCGCACCTCGAGGACCTCTCGCTTCTTCAGAGTAGTCGTGATGGTCTCCATTGAGCATTCCGATGAGGTGGTCGTGTCGGGCACAGTGCTTGTGGTGGTTGTAGTGAGGGTAGAAGATGTTGCCTGTGCTGTTGTGACGTCCAAAGTCGAGAGCGAGGACGTCGCGTGTGTCGTTGTCGCGCGCGAGGTAGAAAGTGAAGCCGTAGCGGTGGTGCTCGGCTCAGCAATAGGCGATTGGGCGGCAGTGGTGGTTGAGAATGCGGTGCTCGAAGAAGAGACCGGGCAGCCCTCAACGGTGGCAACAAGACTGATAGGTGTGCCATCGCAGGCGCTCGTCCCGAAGGATACATAGACAACTCCACCAGATCGCATGCAGAATGAAACATTAGAGTGGTAGAGGCTCCCATCATCACCAACCGACCAGCCGTCCGTCAATGCTGCTCCGCTAATACCGTTGATGAATTCAAGGAGTTGCAGTCCAGACGATCGAGGAGCCCCGAGAACAAGTCCGTCACTATACCGTTGCAGCGCACCTTCAGCTGACAGCGACAATTGCACAGCCCGATTGCAGCCAGAGACCAAAACACCAGCGCCATCTTCAATCGTCAGATATTTGATATCTCTTCGAAGAAGTCTCCCTCCACCAATATTCAAAGTACACAGGAAGGGTGTCCCAGGCTGGATAGGACCTCCGCTACTAGTTGTGGTCGTGGTTGATGGTGAAGAAGTAGTAGACGAGCTCGCGGAACTAGGCTCGGATGTGGTCGTCGCTGCTGACGAATGACTGCTAGAGGATGACGTGGAGGTCGACTGTGATGTGGTGGAGCTAGTTGATGTCGTCGACTTGGACCAAGGAGTGCTCGTCGTCCTCTCAGATCGATGAGCGGAAGTAGAGGTCCAAATAGCAGATGTCGAGGCCAATCCGGAACTAGAGGCCGTCCTTGTATCCCACAATGTGTTGAGAGATGTCGAATACTTTGACGAGGTAGCTGAGTAAGAATGCAAACTTGATGTTTTGGTCAGGGCGCTCGACGAGGCCGACAGTGTACCCTCCCAATCATTCCAATCGTGTCCGTCGGATGTCTCAGCAGGCGAGGTAGGATAAGTGGTGCCGACACTGATGGAGGTAGTCGTATCGCAGGGACAAGTAAAGACAAATCTAGTGAGGGTCTCTGTGGTGGTGGTATCGTCGTGAGACGGAACCTTGAATGAATGAGCGGACGCCGCAAGGGCTAGCGCGACTGTGAAGCGTAGCAAGCCCATGACAGCTATTTTGTGAACAAAGGAAGGACGAAGGTCAGTATTCAAAGTCAATGCATGGTTGCAGGAGTCCGAAGGAGAGAGATCGAAGGTGAGCACAGCAGAAAAGCCACCTTTTACTGAACGCCTTGCCGCCTACCTGTACCAGCTCCTCTGAAGCCATCGAGCCATAGCGACACTGTGCCAAAGCATCGATCCCCACATCAGACCCCCTTTGATCGAGAAGGGAAGCGTCAACATGGCGGCTCCGAGCATATTGAAGTGAAAGCGGGGTCTGTTGGTGTCGAAAGTAGGGAGTAGCTGGTGGTGGAAATAGAGGAAAGGAGATTTTTTTAAACGAGAATGTCAAGCGTGGCTTGCGTCGAAGATGTGGCGCTGGCCAGAACAGGCGTGCTAACCACATGCTACCCACGTGGCTGAACACTAACCGGCCGCGCCGACAGCGTGGTCCCATCACGTCCCATGCAGGGAACACGCGAGATACAGGTCCACGAGATCCAGATCTCGATAGCCTCACGTGGCGTCGCGAAAACAAGACTGCACTATGGGTCAACGACCCCGATAGGGACATGTAGGAGTCATTGTCGACGAGCGTGTAAATGACGGAGCCTTGGGCTGGATTTCATCTGCTCTGTGCGTCTGTCACTGTTTGAGACAGTAAATGAGCTCTCCAGATCGCGCGACCAGTCAACGAGTAACTGTACTGGGTGGCTAAGATCTGATACTGCTCTGGCCGTCAGTTACCGTGGGCTCCATGGCCACTGTGGCAGCTCGAGGGCCTGTCCTGGGCACATTCCTGCCTTTTGACACGGTGCTCAGTAATTGCTGGTGAACTGGTCAGAAGTAAGGGCTGAGCGTTCGCTGATCTCGATATCAGAGTGTTTCTCTTCCAGTTTGTGTTGTCCCCTATCCTCCATAGTACTGTCTACTAGTTGCAAGACTGTCTTTGCATTGGGAAAGGTCTGTACTGCGTAGTCTTTTATCCAGCTGATGCGAGCTCAGCTTGGGTTACTCGTAGCATAGGGCGGCGTCACCCATCGCCCGATATGGCTCCCTCGGAGTCAAGTCTCTTTCCCCGCCGAACGCGAAATCCACCAGTACGTACTCCGGACTCCGTCCTTCATTCATCAACACCTACTTCTTATGCGCAGAGCCAGGAACAAGCATTCGACCCTCCATGACCTTAACTCCAGCTCCACACAGCGTCACATAGCCCTCTCTTGTCGCCGAGTTCGCCACGTCCGCGCCTCCAGTCCGCTCTGAGACCTGCTTCACCTTCATGGACGACTTCTGCAACGCCGCACCCCAATATGGTATCAAGACACAATACGTCGAGCCTGTCGCTTGATCTGTTGCACGCACCGTGTTAGCAGTGACAGCAGCGGCGGCGGCGAGGGCGGCAGGAAAATCATTTTGAAGCATCCAGCATCCAGCATGGGATATCCATTCACGCACGCACCTTCGCTCCCGTACGCAAACACGCGCTTCACAAAATCCACTCCATATCTAGCACCCGCGCTCGTGATGATCTGACTTCTCGTGCCGGGAGGAGAAGCCTCCATCAACGCCACCGCATCGATCTCCATTCTCGCCGCCGAGAAGTCGACGTCCGCGCTCAGCTCGATGACAAGGTCCATCAAGGCGTTCCTCCCCAGGGCTAGAACTTGCGCCGTCTCAATACCTAGCGCTGTTGCGATTGTCTGCCTTAGTTTGAGGTCCTCGGTAAACCATTCGTCCACAGGCTGGGCCGGGATCTCCAGCTCCATGGTCCTCAACACCCCATAGTCGCATCCTAGGTTATGGTCGACTCGGTCTCCATGGTCAATTCTCGCGTTATGATCGTCTGGACGCACCTGCGCATCGACCACGATTCCTCCCACGGTCTGGAATCGCATGGTCGCCCGGACAGGGGGATCACCCTCCGCAGACCGAGCAAGCAGATACGCCGCTCCCACGATCCCATGCCCACAGAACGGCTCCTCCTTGTACGGAGTGAATGACCGGATCAAATAGCGCGTACAATCTGCCTTGTCTGGGTTCGAGTCTCGGGGGGTAAGTCGCCGCAGCCCGTTCTCCTTAGAGCTCTTTTCGTCCCTCTCATGGTCGCCATTGCGTTTCTTGCCCTCATGATCCAACCGCACGAAAATCGTCTCGGACTGATTGAACTCTCTTGCCACGGCCTGCAAGACCAGATCGTCGGGCCACACGGTAAACTCGCCCTCGGCAACACCTTGATGCGCCCCATCGAGCAGGAACACGGGCGTCGGGTTGCCTTTGAAGGCTTCATCGGTCACCGTGTCGACCATGGTCTGTGATTGACGTCTCAGCACAAGACTCCAAAGCATACATACACATGCATTTGGGATGAGAGTCCAGCACGATACAATCAGATCTCTTCTCTCATAGACTTGGCAGTGTGGTGTGAAAATCTGATGAATGCCTGCCAGACAGCCTGAACGAACAGATGGACTAACGTACGTAATTCCATAGTATGGGCCCTTGTTTTTGCTCTCCCCACCCTGCCGACGACATACTAGACCGTATAGCCTTGTGTATGTATATGTATGTATGTGTGCGTTCGTGGGTACAAGTATACAGTAAATTAGTACGGAGCTCCGAGCTGATAGATGTAGCGTGATGTAATGCAATATAGAATCCACGACCTATCCGCAGAAGATGCAATGCAATGCGAGACGGAGATATCGTTACATATACCTTCAAGACCATCCGAGTAGGAGTGTGACGATGTGATATCCTTACACCTTACCCCTTACCCTGAGACATAGTTCTTTCTTGATGCATCTCCAAGCCCCCCTATCAAGAAGTTCCATACGAGTGACGAGCTGCATGATAAGTACATTGTGTCCAAGCTGGGGCAAGAGATCCGGGGGGTGGGACCCACATTACACATCCATCCCTTGGCCTGCGTCGCGTGGCATTACGTCTCTCTCTTCCAAGTGTCTAATTGTTAGGACAGTTATTCGTCCGTTTACATTTGTGTAAGTGGTACCTAATACCTGGATGTCTTCCGTATGATCATTAAAAGCCCTCGGGCGTATTTACAATGTTGCGCTTGAGCCTGGCTCTTTGTTCCGAGAGTCATGCCCCCGTTTGGCGAATCTACACCATACCATTGACATGCATTATCTTGGTCTCGTCCTCATCCTCTATACTCGTAAGCCCATCTAGGCTTCCCGGAGAGGATGTCTCGCAGCAGCAACTTCTCCTAACAAATCATTAGTTGTCGGTCAAGCATAACGGCTCGGATCCTCCTGTGTGCCCAAGGACTCTGCAACAGGATAATTACTCACTGCTCTCGGTCTCCCTGACCTTCATCATCATCTTTGCGTCCGGGTTCTCATACGCCACCAACGGCTGCAGTGCCGCTCGGACAGAGTCTTGCGCGGCACCCAGAGGCGCATCGGTGTCGATGGTGAAGACCGACACCGCACCGTAGCAGCCGTTGTCGACGACGGGGGTCTCGCCAGGCAGGGCGCAGTTGCCGTTGATGCACACGTTGTTGCCTTCGGTGATCAGGTTCGCGAACGTGAAGATGCCGGATGTGGCGTTCCACACGGCCTTGTCGGTCGTGCCACCGCCGCCCAGGCGGGTCTGGATGAACGGCGGGTTCACGCAGGAGTCGTTGGTCAGAGAAGTGATGAACGGGGTGTTGACGCTACATCCCTGTGAGTATGCTTGTGTCACGCAATATGCGAGCGAGGCGATCCCCCTTAGCTCCGAGGGACACTTACTTGAGTCCGTAGCCCAGAGGCAGAATGCGGTCCTTACCGCGAGTGGCATTCACGAGCTGATTGACCAGGTTGGTGGCCAATTGCGCTTGGATGGTGGCCGGGTCGGGGTGGCCAGAGGGCGTGGTCTTGTTGATCCACGTGTAGGAGCGCTGCTCACTGTTGGCCCCCGAGAAGGCGATTCCGGGCAGGTTGCGTTGGATTGCAGCGTAGGTGCCGGCTGTGATTGCAGGTTAGTATGGAGTTCCCCAAATCTATGCACAGAACTAGGTCTAGCATACCGATCGTTCCAGAGAGCGTGTAATAAAAGTATCCTTGATTCAGGCCGAAGTTTGGTCCTCCGACATACAGATCAATAGATCGGTTGCCATAGAAGTTGGGAATGACATAGTCTAGGGAGACGTAGGTGACGGCAGCTGGTGTTCCGTTGTAGTACCAGATGTCAGGGTCATTAGGATCGCGGCCGATCGACGGGGCTCCAGCCGGGATGAGGTCGAACTCTGTGTTGACGGCGAGTGACTTGTTGCTTGTGAACTGTAGGCAAGTCAGTATCTGTCTCTATGCTATAGGAAAAGAGGCAGTAGGGCTAAGAAGGCCCCTGCTTTGGACAAATTACAAGCTCCACGCGACAAAGGCTTCTAGGACAAGGAGAACTTACGACTGATCGACCACCCATGCCGCTCTGGTTGTCGGCCGGTGCCACCATGATGACCTGATGTCCGCTTTCCTTCAGCAAGCGATAAAACTCTCGCACTTGGGCACTTCCAAAACCATCATCGTTACCCAACAGGATGGAGATGGCGGACGATGTGCCAACAAAGGCTGAAGCCGCAACGGCGGCCGAAAGAAGCGAGAACTTCATGGCTATGTCGCACGGCGAGACAACGAGGTGATCGAGCTACAGTAGAGTTCAAAAGCCTGCAGAGTGTGTCTGAAGCTCCCAGACTGGGGAGCTCCCGGGAATATATAGGGCTGCATAAATCCAACGGGTGGTCGGGAAGCTTCCTCACCAACTGTGTAGGAATCAAGCTAGAGGTGCAGGAATAGGCCGAAGCCGTCGAAGCTTGCCTAAGACCAAGCCGTCGACGTCTTCCATGATGCAAAGTCGCATCTGGGTAACACGTGGGTGGAATGCTTCTGGTGACATCGAAGTAGTGAGGACTGATTGAGCTGCCCGATCTGGTTAACGCCGATAGTCAAGGGACGTCGTGCGCAAACCATTGGCTCGCGTTAAGCCTTGCACTTGGCTAGAAGTCAAGACTTTCGGTCGGCACCCCAAAAAAGCTTCTAGTCGGCCGCAAGCTGCCCGGGGGCGTGAACTGACTGTCTCCAGAAAGTGACGCCATTGGTGGTATTCTTGTCAGGAACAATCTGCCGAATCCGCCACGCTGTATGGTCCTGTGCATCTACAGGTGAATCATGCCATTGGTGGTCGACGACATAATCTGGTGATCCAGTCCGTTGTGCTCTGTTCTTTGCCAATCGGATGCCCACACGCTCGATATCAAAAAGCCTTAGGCATCAACGATATTAGCCCATCCTTCGCAGCTTCGAGGACATTGCCTGTGGTCTTGCTACCCCAAACAGTAATACCCATCAGCTTAGTGAGAGGACGAAGATATCGCCAGCGATTCAGCCTCGGTTCACGCCGCTGCGCCTCAAAGAAGCGATTCGTATTTGTCTAGACCTGTTTTCTTTTGCGGAGACAGCTGCTGTTGAGGCTGCTGTGGTTGCAGTACATTCATTGATCCGGCGAAGCCGCTAAAACTATTCCCAGGCTGCGAGGCCATTCCGAGGTTATTGTACGTTGGTTGCGGCCAGACACTTCCCTGTGTGTTCATTCCAGGGGCCGGTGCTATACTGGGTGCAAGCACTGGGTTCAGCGACCGTTGGGGGCCCGGCGGCGGCGGAAGTTGCCATGTCGTATTCGATGAGACCGCTGGCGGAGACATTGAGCTTGGAGGGTTGGCAAGGTAGTTCGTAGGGTGCTTCACCTGGTGGTGGTTTTGAACAGATACGGACGGGTGTGAGGCAGCTGCCCAGGCCGAGGCTGTTGATGGCTGCAGAGGTTGGAGACTGGGAAACGCCGAAACATTGACGTCCGGTGTGATTGAGCGAGATATCGGTTGCGGCTGCAGAACAGGTAGAGACGACATTGTTCTGTTCGACGGCATCTTCGCGTTCGTGGCGGTTGCTGGAGCCCACGAGAAGGAAGGTGGGTTCTGAGTAAGCTTTTGCCCTTCGGAGAGAGCGCCTGCGAAGACATCGTTCTTGTCAGTATCTTTGCTTCCAAGCACGAGCTTCTCGAAGTCGTCTTCCGTCCCAGCGAGCTGATTTCCTTCTGTTATTCCGTTCCTGGGCGAGATCGGCAACGTAGAATTACCCTTCGGCTCAGAAGCTTTGCTCAGGGAGAGTTCTTGCAATCTCCGAAGCTGTTCTCGTTCGATTTTCGCCGATAGTGACTTGATGACATCCATGAATGACTTGAACTGGCTTAGGTCGAGCAAAGGACCAAGGCTGAAATTCCAGAGGGTGGGCAAGACATCAAAGGCCAAGAAATCTGTGTCTGCGACAGTGCCAATCTGGCGGAAAACCTTCAAGGCGGCCATCATCACTGCTGGCTCCTTGGTCTTGATGGCTTTCAAGAGAGGGACCACTTTCTCCTGCATGGTGAACTTGTCGAGGCTTGAGGCATTCTTGCCCTGTCTTTCTGGCTCGACCTTACCAGAATAGTCATCCATGTCGCTTTCAGTGCGGACCGTGGACACTCCACACAACACACCCAATGCTTCAAGGCCACGAATTTTGATGCTCAAGCTGTTCGTCTTACTGAAGACGCCAGCAACCACGGGGAAGAGGTCATGCTTCACTGTTGAGAAATCAAGCAAAGGCAGAATGGTCGGTAGCGTTTGGAGAGCAGCATCGGTCAAGGAATGAGTGGAAGACTCCATCGCCAAGAAGACTATCGGGAGCAGGTCGTCCTTGAACTGCTTTGCCGAGCAATTGTCGGCGATAAGCTGGATGTTGCTGAGGGTCGACAGCAGGGCGGCTTCCTTGCTACTATCCCTATCTTCAGACTTGGACTTGACCAAGAATGTATCTCTCATCCTTGGGAGCACCTTGTCGGCCATGATTTCCTTGCTGGAAGGGATGATTTTGACGATAAGGAAGATATTCTGCATTATCAACGGCACGAGCTCGCGGTCTTTCATCTCATCAAGCAGCACACCAAGTATCTTCTTTCCCAGTACTGAAGGCGGAAATTGAGGCATCACCCGACCAAGACCTTTCATGAATTGTGTCTTTTCGACCGGCGTTTTCGCGGGGAAGGCGTCCAGGAATCGTATGGTGTTCACCAAGATGTTGTCAAAATACTGCGACTGTTGGAATTCCGTTGCCGTCATTCGCTGCGCCGGCCGTCTGGTCAACATCCTGGGAAGTGTAACATTGAGTTCGCGCGGTAAAGCATCTTCAGATAGGAAATTGTTGGCACTGGTAGGCACAGTAGAAGCATTGCTGAAAATCTTCTTATACGTCGACTGATTTCCGTGAGTTTCAATAGGTGACCTGTGTGGATTCCTGTAGCATGCCAAAATAACCATGCCCAAGGAGAATATATCGGCCAAGAAATTGATATTAGTGTCGAGGACGAAATCGGGCGAGGTATAATCGAGGTCCAACTGCACAGATCGCGGTATTCGAGAATCATGATACAGAACCTCGGAAAGCGGGATTTGTGGAACAGGTTGGTGTCCTTCGGCTCCATCGGGGGGTCCTGCAAAACCCAGTCCTGAGATCTTCCAGTCCGACTTCGCGTTGATAATGATGGCGTCTGGATTCAAGTTTCCGTGGACAAGCTTGGCAGAATCGTGGAGGAATTCCAACCCTTTAGCCACCTGGAGCAGACCTTTCTGGATCTCCAACTCATCCATGTCTATTTCTTGTAATGCTCTCGAAGCGGTACCATCATTAGACGCGGATCTCGAGATGCCTCTGTCAGGTCGGCCACCACTTCTGTCCTTTTGTGCCAGCGCTGCAGCCAAGGAGCACAAAACGGGCTCTGTCGCAAACATCAACCCACCGCTGCGGGTCTCCTCGACGGGCTCTACTAACTGTAGGATCGAAGGGTGACGCAGCCGAGCCAGGCTGCTGGCTTCTTTCCTCAGTCTCTCTACCACTTCATCCTGGACCTTGCGTACCGAGGCGGCACTAGTAGCACGTGCTCCAAACCCGCTGCTGGTGACATCAAGAGACTTTCGGTCAAAGACGAACACCGAAACTTCGGCCCCGGTATTCTTCTTCTTGGCGTCGAATATGGTCCAGACGCCAGCCGTGGCAGAGGGCTGCTTGGACAGTTCGTAGTTTGATGTGATATTTGAGGAAAAGGACTTGAAGGCGGACGAAAACATTGGCGGCTAAACTCGGACATGAGAAGGCTGCTATCTCACAAGCAATGGCAGACTCGGATGGGAACTTCCACAGACACGATGCTGAAATCGACCGAGAGCTAGCGCCAGTTCCGGTGACGGCTAGCAGAGATAGGTAACTACTACTGGCTTCGTCGTCTGCACCTCCACGGCGGGGAGTCTGATGGCTGAGATGGGACTGAACCTCAAGATCCCGAATCTAATTGATTAGGTTTGCCAACGCCGGAGAACGGACCGCCAAGACCGCCGGAGACCGGATATGCTTCGCAGTAATACTGGCAGAAGTACTACGGAGGATCACAATTACTGGACAGCAACAGCCATTAAGTCCTTAATATATCGGGGGCTTTCGCGCCTCGGGGCGATGTGGGGAAGATCACGTGCCAGCATAGATAGATTGTGGAGAAGAACCTTCTGTGCCTTCTCTGCCTCCGCTCACCTCTGCTTCACTTACCTCTCCGTGCCTCTCTGTCTCCTGCTCGATCGTCTTTACTATTGATAACTACCGGCACCATGCTCCTGTCAGCGCTTGAACTGCTTCCAGTGAACAAGTGACCAGATCAGCGCTGAGAACCAACGACTGGATGTTGGTGCCACAGTCGTGGGTAATTAGCCCAAGATGCTGGCTTGTCCTCCTCAACCCCAGTCACCTACACCGGCCTTCAAAAGGACGGCACAAGCATGCAGGCACTGTCAGTGCAGAAAGTCGAGGTGTGATAGGAAGACCTTCAGCTCAGCTTGCACCAACTGTCTCCTCGACGGGGTTGAATGCCTGCCTGGCAAGAGTAAGCACCAGCGGTCAACAAGGCGTCGTCCAGCGAAATCTACGTCTTCCAATATTGCGTCCATTCGGCCGCAGGGCCGTGATCCCTTCAGTACAGTGTCCAAGCCCAGGCTTCCAAGCTTCTTCAAACCTTTGCCTACCACCCTCCTGCCTGAAGACCTAGACTTTTTGCAACATAAAGGCGTGTTCGACATTCCCAGTGCCGAATGTTGCAATGAAGTCTCGCGCAGCTATTTCCACTTTGTGTACCCGTTATTGCCTCTACTCGATATCGACACCTTCACTGTCCCAATCTTGGAGAATGACGCAAAGGACAAACTCAGCCTGTTACTCTTCTACGCGGTCATGTGCGCTGGCGCTGGGCACGTCGACATGGCGGTTCTGAAAACGGCGGGCTTCGATTCAAGGAAAACTGCCCGAAGTGCATTTTTTGAACGCGCGAGAGTAGGTCCTTCATATCGGCTCAGGAAATCTGCTGACCTGCAAAGTTACTGTACGACTTCGATTGCGAGCCGGATAGAATATCGTTGATTCAATCGTTCTTGCTGATGACATACTGGTACGGTGGCCGGGAGACTCACAAAGACCGAACATTCTGGATCCGTATGGCCGTAACCCTAGCCCAAGACCTTGGACTGGACATGAAGCTTGACTGTTGTGAGACAAAGCGACAACGGATGCTCAAGAGGTTATGGTGGTGTTGTTTCATGAGGGATCAATTCATGGCCCTGATGATGTGGACTCCTCCACAGCTCGGTGCTCGTCATCGCTATCTCCCCATGCTCGAACTGTCAGATTTTGAGCTACAAGAAGGGTCTGCGGCTGCTATAGACGGGCGCCACGGATGGGAGTTCCTGTACAACAGCACGAGCAGGACTCATCTGGCCATTCTGTGCATAGCGAAAGCCAAGCTTTGCGTGTGCATCAACCAGATTCTGCAGGCACGATATACAACCTTGCGATATGAGAACTGCGATAAGATGACAACGATACTCGTCCCCACGCACTCTCCTTCCAGCCTTTTTGAGATTCTTGAGCTGGATCGCCAGCTACGAGAGTGGCATTACGATATTTCTGGCAACGGTGGGTTTGACTTGTGGGACCCTGCGAATACCGGTGCACTCGATGCCATAGACATGCACCGGGCACATCTAAAGTTACTGTTCCTTTCCGTCCTGATAGCTCTTCATCGACCCCAAGCTCTGGACACCACCCCCTCGTTGTCGCCAACTTATCGGCAACTATCCAGGGGAAAACTCCACGACGCGGCAGACGAGATAGCACATATCGCTATCTCCATCAAGAACCTTCACTTGGGGACTCACCTAAATCCGAAGGGATTAAACCTCTTACTCCCCATCATGCTCGCCCATCTTCAAGACGTCCAGCCGCTGGTCGAACACCGTCGCCACAGCAGACAGGAAAAATACCATGATAGCATGCAAATGCTGGACGCCATCGGAGACCTCGGTGATTCCGAGGTTTTCCTGCCTTCCAAACTCGAAACTTCTTTTCTGAAGTTCAATATTCTTCCGTCACACGAGTACAAGATCCCTGCTTCCGTTGACATCCAGGGTGCCAACTACAACAGCCTCCGTATCACCCCAGCCGGCATCGTCTCGACTTTGTCACAGCTTGGTACGATCACTCAGACCGAACTGGACATGCTTGCAGGAATGGGCGCCGACGGGAAGCACAAACCCCATGCAACGAATTCCGAGGATGCTACACGAGTGTCTCCGACGTTGACATGATCAGCAATCACGCTAGCCTCGCAGTGTATCAATCGAGCTTACGGCCGAAGACCCGACTTTCATGCAGATCAAATCGCCACAGCGCCAGCAATACAGTCTTCCAGCACTCTGTTCGATGGATCCGGGGCCCATACCACCATCGAAAGATACTTCGACTGGAGGCTACGGAACACGAAGCTACCCGTCTTTCAGCCGCAGTCAAGTCACCCAGAGACTCGCAATGTCAGGACACACATGCTGCGAGTCGTAGATCATAAAATTGCCATGTATCCGCCTGGATTATCATGACCCAGGAGACTGAGTTTCCCCTGAATAACACTCATGGCGGACATCCTCCAAAATCAATCGGCGTTCGGCAACAGTGCTGATCGCTCGCTCGAGATCCTTCTCGCACCCTATCTGACGTCTACATCCGCCTCGCAGGCACGCCTCTCGGAGGCAGAAGTACGACGGATCTCCACTGGACTTGGCCGTATGGGCAAAGACTCGTGGAGTCGAGTGCCTCGCATTTATGCCGTTCTGCGCATGATCGATCAGGTGCAGGTCCTCGATGGATTCCTCACTGAGGGAATATCAGACATGTGGTTCCCGTTTTCGCAGCAGACGCTGCCCGAGTGCCTCCGGAGTGCCTCCGCTAGATTCGAGTTCCTGAAGCTCCAAGATGCTGTGCTGACAAAGGCCTTCGACCTAGAAAGAGAAGATGGCAAGCATCATCATTTCTCCAAAGCCGAAGACATCCCATTGCAAATGGTGGAAGAGCTGGGAAAGGAGGCTTTGGTTACGTCGACCGCGTTGTCAGCACAATAACCTACCGTGAATATGCGCGCAAGCTCATTCCGCGCGGGAAGACCTTCAAAAAGAACACCGAAGTATTGAAAGGCTTCGAAAGGGAACTAACGCATCTCAAAAAGCTGTCCCATATCCACATTGTCGAATTGATTAGGAGCCATGCCGACACCAAATTCGTCGGTATTCTGATGCCCCCAGTGGCAGACTACAATCTCAAGGATTTCCTGATGCGGCGGAATCTGATGCCAGGACAACGTTCTTTTCTGCGCACATTTTTTGGATGTCTGGTGGCAGCGCTGTGTTATTTGCATGAAAATAAAATCCGGCATAAGGATATCAAGCCGCAGAACGTGCTTGTGAAGGGCCACCAGGTATTCTTGACCGATTTTGGTATCTCATTGGACTGGCCCGAACTGGATCAAAGCACAACAACTGGGGTGACCACCAAAACTCCTCGGTACTGTGCCCCAGAGGTCGCGGGATTTCAGCCTCGCACCTCTCTCTCGGATATGTGGTCGCTAGGCTGCGTTTTCCTGGAGATCTGGACTGTTCTAAAACGAGAGACCCTGGACGCTCTCTCGGGCTATCTCGAAAAGCATGGGACACAGTCAACCTGTTACTGGTTGAATTACGAATCATCACATGAATGGTGCACGCTGCTAGAGCGCAACGTTGACCACGACGACCACCCCCCAGCGGTATGGATACGCAGCCTGCTACAGCCGGATCAAGAAGACAGGTGGACCGCACAGCAGCTGGTCAATGGCATCCAGCACACGAATGATCGCGCTGATCTCAGATTTGCCTTTGCTGGTACATGTTGTGATGGGGCGGAGGGATCCTCAAGCTCGGGACGCTCTTCAAAAAGGTCTTCAGCTCTCCTGGAGGAGACGGGCGCTTCGTCCGTGGGCATCTACGATCCCAGCTCAGGCAAAGGCAAACAGGAAGAAGATACTGAAGTTCCGACACATCATCTGCCATCTTCGCTCACGAAACCACGCCCGAGCATGGCTCCACCCGTTCAGGGAGCCAGGAACACTGGCGGTGAGCTCGCAGAGTCCTCAGTCTCTGGGTCGCTCCTAAGCCCTAAGCAGCAAGTCGAACGACTTTCGGATCCGCGCGCTCAACCAAGTGCTCCCGCTGAGGATCTTGTTCAGAATGGAAGCGCTGCTGCAGTCTGCAAAGACGCTCGTGGCCACCAAGAGGGACAATTCGTGAGTTCATTCTGCTTCGTCTTATCACAACGGGCGTGTCAAAAGAGGGATACTAATTTCAATGGTTCATCAGTTCGTTGCTAGGCAGAACAACGAATCCCCGAGACCCCCGATGGAAGAAGACAAAGTTTGCAAATTATATTATCCCCATCGATGTTATCCCCCTCCGCAAAGTAGGGCCTACAAGGCTTCCCTACTACCCTATCCACCAGGATGAAGACCATGGCTCTTCGGAACCAACCTCTCCGCAACAAAATTCCGCTCATACTTCGATAGCTCCGCCAGCCCTTTCCCTCCCATATGGCCTTTCCATCCATCGGTCCTACAAACAGTCTAGACAAGGAAGACGAGAGACCGATCCGCGCCACCGAAGGTTCTGGGCTTTTAGGTGCAACAAAGAACAAGACTAAGGAGACAGGCGTCGGTAAAGCTCGACGAACTACCGCCCTCCCTGATACAAGAAGTGCGGCCCCTGTCGATAGATCGGGTGCAGCAGGCTCACCTGGCCTCCACCAATCTCCTAAGGTCGACCTGGAATCCTTTTGGAGCACGGTTCGCAGTGTTGTTGTCAGCCGTGCGCACGAGCGAACGGCGGGCCGCACCTATCAGTAGTCGAGCCTGGTGGTTTCTGTGGACCATGTCCGCCAACTCCTTAGATACCGTCAGACTATCCCCAAGGCATCAGGGAAAAGCAGCTTTCGGTTTGAAGGAACACGAAGTGGTGGCAGCGATGGCAGCACCATCAACACCATACCTCGGTCTTCGCGCGTGCGATTCCGGGTAGTCGATGCAGCCCTGTGTGGGCATAGCATTCGCTGTTGACCGTACCGAGAGCTTGAGCAAGCAGCCAAACGAATGATGAGGGTGGATCAGAACCTCGTCTGGTTGATTGCGATGAAGGTGTGCAATGCTTGAATAATAGCCGTCGCAAATGTTAGAGCAGACGGCAGGATTATCTGGACGGTCAAGTCTCTGGGAACGCAGTAAAGAAGCAAGGCGGGTGAAAGCTCAGCAGGTGTCGTCTCCCATGTCGTCGGCAGCAGGCAGGTGTACTGAATACCTATCCAGTACGAGTATTACAACAAGCACAGAATCTCGAGGCCAAGAATCAACGCCTGCCAGGGGCTGTGCGGGATTCGGGCTCCGCGTCTCCCAGGCGCCAAAAACTACCTAGCTCGCTAGTCACCTAGTTAAGCGACAGTAGCGGCTAGGTTAGTGGTGCCCGCAGCCTTGCCCTCTCGCCCTCTCGCCCTCTCGCCCTCTCGCCCTCTGTGCCCCTCCTTCCCTCCCGCCATGGCACAATGGCTTGCATGACTCACGGAAGATAATCTCGAGGATAACTGCGTCTTTGCAGTCGCAGAATCTCCCACCCCCAAGAGAAGAGAACACCAGTTCCTCCACTGTGCACTGGTCGCCTACCCTCACCTCAGCTCAACTCATCTCGCGACCCCTCATCATGACCTCTCCGCCGCCGAAATACGTCTCGATCGCACCCCTCCTCAAGCTCCTCTCCAACCCTCCGCCGCGAGACAACACGGTCAAAGCCGAGGACATTGCCCTGGCCTTCTCGCGCACCTTCGAGAACGAGCTCAACCCCACACAGCTAGCCGCGCTCTTGACCCTCCTCCACTCGACCGGCAAAGACAGACACCCAGACGTGGTGGCAAGATGCGCGCAGGCCATGCGCGACGCGGCTGTGCAAGCGGACAAGCGGAAACTACGAGAAGTGGTGCGGAAAAAGGCCAAAACCCAAGGAAGCTATAGAGGCGGGCTATGCGACATTGTCGGCACAGGCGGCGACTCGCACTCGACGTTCAACATCTCCACCACGGCATCCATCGTCGCCAGTCCGATCCTACGCATGGCGAAGCACGGCAACAGGGCGCAGACGTCGATGTCTGGCTCGGCCGACGTTCTCACCGCCATCTCGCCGACCGCGCCCCGGATCGAGAGCCTGACCGCGGATCGCCTGCCGGAGGTGTACGAGCACACAAACTACGCGTTCCTCTACGCGCCCAATTTCCACCCGGGCATGAAATACGCGGCGACCGTGCGGCGGGAACTGGGTCTCCGGACCATCTTCAACCTGATGGGCCCGCTGGCGAATCCCGTGGAAGACCACATTGAAGCGAGGGTCGTGGGTGTCGCGTACCAGGAGCTGGGACCCGTCTTCACACAGGCGCTGCAGATGACGGGCGTCACCAAGGCCATGGTCGTGTGTGGGAAGGAAGATCTCGACGAGATCAGTTGCGCGGGCGACACAAACTGCTGGCTACTGCGGGAGGTGGAGAACCCGGAGTACAACAGACCGCAGCGTACACAGGCGGATGAAGACGACGACACGAGCGACGATGAAGCGCCCCCGAGGTATATACCCCAGTTAGAGACGTTCACTCTCAGTCCTGCCGCGTTCGGGCTGCCCTCGCATCCGCTGTCACAGGTCGGGGGTGGTGGGCTGCCCAAACAGAACGCCGCCGTGCTGATGAGCATCCTTCGTAACGAGCGGCCACGGGATGACCCGATCCTGCATTTCGTGCTGATGAACGTGGCCGCCCTCCTGGTAGTGAGCGGCGCTTGCGATGCAGATGTCTGTGAGAGCGGCGAGGTCATCACAGAGACAGGCCCCGGGGGAATGCGATGGAAGGAAGGCGTCAAAAAGGCTAGATGGTGTATAGAAAGTGGAAGGGCGCTCGAAGAGTTTGAAAAGTTCATAGCATTCACCAACAGGTGATGGGGTGATAAGATCGGATGTAGACGTAGACGTAGACATGGACATAGACACAGGCAGGCCGGCTCAAAAGTATTTGTTTAATCATGTTTCACGACTCCAGCAACGGTATTTCCACCGTCTGCCTCTGTTTTAGAAAACGTGACTCGGCAACGCCAGTCGCCTCAGCTATGCAGAATTGACCCAAGCATCCCACCCCAGAATATCATGGAAACCATGGCAATCATGCCTATCATGGCATGTCACGGCGTCTCATACTGCGCCGCGCGGCAACAAGACCGACCGAGAAGGCAGGAGAGATGCGCCATGCCGTACCACACGTGCCTTTACGAATCGCATCCCATCGAAAAATCGCTCCCATCACCGCGCCTCAAACTGCACCATCCTGTCATGATCGTGAGTTAGCATTCTTTCCTCCGTCTCTCCATGTCGAAAGAGAGACACGACAAAACGATGGTCAAGGCAAAGCGTAGGTGTAAGCGTAAGCGTGGAGATAAGTGCCGTCTCACCTCTTCGTCCGCTCTTTATAGAGAACCCGATGCCCGCACATATGACAGCGGATGATATCCCCCTTGGACAACTGCACCTTGGAAGCGCAGTCGCCGCAGACGTATGAGACGAGCGGGCCCGCCGCACCCTCGCCGGCCGCTGCGCCGGTGGCGAAGCCCGAGCCCTGCGTGGGGAGGTGGTAGGATTGGGAGGACATGTTGGTCGCTTGGGGGGGACGATGGTGGTGGTGGTGGTGGCGCCCGTGTTATTGGTATCGGTGTCGATGTGGCTGCTTGGAGGGGGTACCTGGGCGAGAGAAAGTGGATGAATACGTAGGCGTGGCTGCGCGAGTGTGTTTGCGTGAGTATGTGTCTGTGGAGGTGGATGTGTTTGGATGGAAGGTGGAATAAATTCAAAGTGATGTGGATGGTATGGCGTACTCGTACGACCGATGGGAAATAAAAAACGCCGAAGCCTTGCAGCCTCGCAGCCTTGCCTCGCAGCCTTGTCTCGCAGCCTTGCCTGGTGGCGAGCGGCGAGCAAGCATCTACCTCGCCAATCAGGATCGCAGTCGGGACCGCAGTCAGGATCGCTTCACCCGTGAATCCAAGGTTGCTACAGTACTCCGAACTCCGTACTCCGCTCCGTTCACAATATGTTCGTATGTTTGTATGTACTTGTGAGTATACGCATTGTCTCTCCAAGTTCATATCATACCAAAGCAAATCCATGCTTGGTCTGTCGAAGATGAGCGATTCGTCTCGTTCGTGGTAGTGAGACGAGGGCAACAAAGAGCTCCAGGCATGTACGGTAGCCCAGCGCAAGATCCTCATGTCTGATCTATCTTCTGTACCCTGCTTGCTCAAATTCGCTCCGTACAGATATCCTCGACTCCACTCACCGCCAGACTTCAAGATGATGGACAGCAGCCTTGAGGATAGTCGTCTGCAACATCATAAATATGCGCGACCGGATTCTCTCGGTTTGATACCACATGTCGTACCTCTCGTGATCAATTCTTGTCCAAGTCTGTACACTACGAGAAAACAAGGCTGCTTTCTGCTGACTGGACTGGGCTAAAGCCTCAATGTGAGCCATGCGAACACATGATGGTAGAATCTGCAGCCTTTCTCCTAGTACCCACGATGCAGAGTCCAACAAGGGTATTTTGGGCACATCGGAGCAAAGGACGAGGTCGAGAATGATTTCCCCCATCGGCGTGTCAAACACATACCCCGGGATAACCTCGCCGTTGCACGCATGGACAACCAAACGAGACTCACCTTGCGTGGTAGGTACTGGGCACTGTATCTGGTCATGTACCACTCGTCTGAGTTGCAATCTCCTTCAAAGGAGGGCAACATGCCAACAAAATTTTGGACGGCTGCACATGCCGTACAGAACGTTGCACGGCTGCATACGGAGGGCTCTTATGTTGCCTACCTCCTCGCCGCCGTCACCATGTGATGACTGATACCCTGACACGAACCGAGGCGCGGCACCTGGCTCTAAAGAAGTCGCAACGAGAAGTACTTGAAAGTACTTCGCTTCTCGGACACGCTCTTGTCGTAACCGTGACTTATGTCTTTCTTTGACAACCGAACCGCAGTCAGTGGGAGCTCGGGACAAACAGCTACTGGGGCAAGCTCATTGTGCTCTGCCCTTTTTGCCTGGGGTAACTGCAGTTGCGGCTGCAGAGGGAGTACTGCACGAGAACCCTGTTTGTCTCCCAGTGCTTACCAGTAATACGGAGTCCTACTGTGCTTATGCTTACCTGCCGCGTAGAGTAAATATAGACACGACAGCATGTGCCTCTATGGGGAGCAGGGCGTAACGTAGCGAGACGGACGAGGCAGATGGCGTGGACATGGGGCGTGCCTTGATTGCGTAATCCTGCTCCAGAAGTTGATGCCCGGGACAACCTTGCCAGGATCGATAATGCTTATCACCCTCCGTGGTGAGACCGATCGAGCAACAATTGTTCAAGGGTAGTAATAGATACCAAAAGTAAGTGATGTGTACGTAAAGAAGCTCCCACCGCCACTGCCACCACCATCATCGACCGTGTCTCAGCCTTCAGCCTCGGAATCGTCATCCAATACGTACTCGGTACCTAGGTACTCTGTATAATTTCCACATCCTCCGTACGAGTACATTATGATGGGTGTGTGCCTGACGATCAGTACGGACATTCGGCGAGTCAGTGCTTCAGGGCTCTCGGGCGCGGGCACGGGCGCGGGCGCTTCCTTCCTTCCTTCGCTTCGACCCTGATGCCCAGAGCCTCTACTCCGTACATGTAAAGCAAACCCACAAACAAAAACAAACAACAAACGAAAAGAAAGCCAGGATGACTGAGAGCGCCCCCATCCTTCCTCCCTTCCGCCCTTCCTTTCGTCCTTCCCCTTGGCCACGACCCTGACCATGACCTTGATGTTTCAAATTTCTACCTACCTAGTTTTCGCCCCCTCAAAGGCAAGGACAGGACTCCCCTCCCTGCCCCTTGGCACAGGTACCCGCGCGCGCGGCCCTCCTTCGCAAGCCACCCGGTTTCAAAACTTCGGATATCCCTCTCGCCTCACAAGCCTCCCAGCAAGCCACCGAGAAAGCCACATTTTGATCCCGCGCGACGGGGCCCACGGCCTATGAGCTCGGACGAGTACGAGGCACCAGGTACCCGGGTGGGACAAATTAGCGCTCCCCCTTCCCCTGCGTTTGGCGCCCGTCGTTGGCGTTAATGCTGTGGCCCGCCGATCAGCCCTTGTTTTCCGCCACCGCACGCACGTACCGCACGTTCGCAAAAAATCAAGCTTTTACCGCCTGCAAGCGTTCCAGCCTATCGGTGTGTGCCCATCGTGGCTACTATGTCTATCAAATCGGCTACCCAGTACCCAGTAGTTAGCTTTTGCACTTGTCACAAACTGTCGGCAACAGTGTTCTCGTAGCAGGGATGATTCGTTGGTGGAGGACGTGTCGATCACCCAACTTACCTGCGAAGCCTGGGCGCTCAGGAATCAACCTTTGACGTTCCTTAAATCAGGGCTGGTCAAGCTGAGCTGGGCTTACCATGCGCCTCGTAGGAGACCCAGGGGAAGGGGAAAGTTAACGAGTAGGGCCAGCCACGAACCTTGCTTCACGGATCCATTCTTTTTACTGTAAAGGTGCGCACCCGGGCTGTGTTTGGTCACGTACACAATACCACAGTAAACAACGATGACGCGTTGGAGGCGTTTAGGGTGAGTTCCTGAGCTGAATGTGAGTCCGGCCCCAGTCGAGGCCGTCACGCCCGTGTATTTGCTCACGGGCTGGAAGCAAGGCAAAGCAAGGCAAAATTCTTTCGTGAGAAAAATCCATTCGGTCTATGTATGTGTGTGTGCCCTAGGTCTGGTATCCAAGAAGTGAAAGCTATGTATCAGAAGGGAAAAAATATGTACTCTCCCATTCGTAGATCTGCAGTATCTACTGTTTGCCCGTTGGGATTTCCAAGATGAATAAAAGAGGGGATTTTTGCCTCCCACCATCTGCACATGCAATGGGTCTGACATTTCTCAGGTCACCGGCTGGGTGCCGAGACCTGGACGTCAAGTCTGTTCCCCAAGGTCATGTCGATAAATTGTCATGCTGGCTCGTGATGATGGAAACCAGATGCCGTTGAAGAGAAAGAGAATGAAGTATTGAGACCAAAGCTATCCACCTCCGTTGCACCGTTGCCACCTTCACCGTTGCTAATCATCAGTCATGGCATGACCTTCAGGTTCGCATGTTCGTAAGTATCGTTCTTGTCTTGTTTGAAGTGCATGTTCGTAGCCAAGCACTGATGCCGACTTGTTGTTTTCCATGGTTCCACGGGAGACCTGTCGCCGGGAGTTGAGAAGATGATAAAAAGAGTGAGATGATCGTCGAGATCGGATGCAATACCTGCGGGGTCAATGGTATATCCATGTGTCGACTCATGGATATACACTAAACGAATGTCTTGCAGGCAGCGTAAAGTCGGAGACGGCAGAACTAGCTGCGTAAAATTGGATGGAAAACATGCCAAGTCGGCATCATGCTTGAAGCTTGTAAGTGTTGTCAAGGCGTCGTCTATGCCTGGCTGGGGAAGTGTCGAGCATGGAGACGGGAGATAATGTCACTCCCAGCGTCAGCGATGCTTCGCTTGCCGGCTCCACCAGGGCAGAGGGTCAAGACGAGGTTGGAGTCTTCATCGCAGACCATGGTACGGACATCATCCGGCTGGTTGTAGGCGGCCGAGCAGACTGAGGCGCCAGCGGGGCAAGTGACGGGAACACATGTCGGGTTGTTGGGGTCGTTCTGCATTGAAGGGACGACCTCCATGCCGCCAGCAGAGAAAGGGTAGCCGTTGATGTTGGACAGATCATATGAGATCTTGCCGTTGGCCCAAGTGAACTCGAATTGAGAGACTGGGCCCGAGGTGCTGGACTCGGGGGAAAGCTTGATCGAGACACCAACACCTTGCTGGCTGTAGCCCTCGCTGTAGCTACCCTGGAGTTCCT